AAGAAAAAAAACAATGCCAATAATATCATTACAACAGAAATGATATTAATTGTATTCCTATTGAAAATGTTCTGATATTCTTTCAACACGTAAGGATATTCTACAACTCCACCTATGAAGCAGACCTATATGTATTAATTTCCATCAAATTTCAGTGCAAAATTGTGTGTAAATAGTTTGTTCTGTATTCTCAATGCCACAAAATATATGATAACTTTGAGGAATGCAACACAGTGAGATATGTACCTCTTCCCTTTCTGTCTCACTGAATATAAAAGATTTGGAAGGCCAAGTTTTATGAACCCTATCAATGTTAAGAGCACACTGTTCTTTCCATACTCTTCACAAAGACCAAGAATGTACATGTTTGCAAGTTGTCTAAACAGATTGTGTTCTATGGCACTTGCATGTCTTCCGGTACACTCCGTCTTTCACTCTGTGCTCTACCCTTGTCGCCCAGGGTCACTTTGTTCATAGCCATCACAACAGCTGTAGCTGCCTGGAAGATTTAAATCAACAGCAATAAGAACATCAACAACAACAACCATACTGCTGACAGACTAAAATGTGATACAGTCGTATTTAAAAAATTGATACGTGCTATTAAGAAGTAGCTTTCAAGGATGTTTATCATGAATATGTATAAATCCTTTGTGTGTGTGTGTGCGTGCATGTATAATTTTTTTACTTTTACAAACCTGATAATTTCACACATTTCACACAGAATCACTAAACAAACTTTTGAAACAGAGAAATAAATTGCTCAACTTTGTAACAGGCACCTTTTTACCACAGCCATACTTAATGGTTAAGTGCAGTTATCTTTCAAAATTAATTACCCTGAGTTTCCTTTTGGCATTGAACTGTTTGAGTTTGCACTGAGCCTCCTCCATGTGCTGGCTCTTACACGCCCCTTTCAACCAGGGGTGCTCCAGAGCTTGGCTAGATGTCAGACGCTCTGCTGGATCAACCTTCAACAGCTGGCGAACCAAATCCTGACAAATAAAAATTGCTTTGTAAAAGAAAAAATAATTTACCAAAAAAAAAAAAAATAAATAAAATAAAAATGAACCATCTCTAGGGAAGAAAAGTTTTATTGGTTGGTCTGCAAACCCATGTGATGTGTGTTTCAGGTATAATGTGGTGTCTTTACACATAGACCATGCTCACCTTTGCATTTTCACTGACATCATCCCACCAAGGTGCATCAAACATGTAGTCCCCTTTGATAATCTTTTTATACATCTCCTTCTCATTATCACAATAAAATGGTTCATAGCCACAAAGCCTGTAAAAATATGACTTTGATGAAAAGAGGCATGTACATTTTTCATAATGATCATAATATACTCTTGACTAGTTAACACATACACTTTTTTTGCTACAATCAAGAAGTTACCATGAAACAAATTAGGACAAAGTCTTTACTCGACAGGTGCTTATCCTTCACAATATTAATACTTTTATCATAACAAACCCATACATGCAAGACAAATGTGTAGGTAAAACATACTATCTTGGTAATCAAATAAATAATGTAAGAAGAGTCCATTTGTCTTTTTAAATGCTTGAAAAACATATGTTCTTGGAATTTCTTGCCAATGGTTTATTTTAAAGATGACTCCTTCCAGATATTGCTTTGTGTTTTGCGATTCATGTGTAGATACTTACAGAATATATGTGATGACTCCAACACTCCACATATCAACTGCAGTGCTGTAAGGATTTCCTTGCAACACTTCTGGGGCTGGAATTAAAACAACACAGGTGATTTCCCTGAGGATATATGCACTCCTTTAAATATTTTAAAGAATAAAACACATTTTTCTAACAGGACTGATAAAAACCAGAGCACCTATACACTGAACACAAAGCAAAGAAGGTGAAAGATATTATAAAATCTTAAATGCATAAAGGATAAATTACTGATGCAAGATATTCAAAGTCTTCGATCTTTTTTTTTTTAAATTTCTTTTGTCTGCTAATTAGCCGTTACGAACCTATGTAAGTGAATTAAAATATATTCAAGTATCTTCTTTGTAATTAAAATGAAGTTTTACTGTTTCAGCATGAGTTATGTATTCTCCCTTTCTTTAACACAACCCCCCTTCCTAAAAATGGATAGGTCATTTTCAAACAAGCACTGGAATTTTATCTTGGCTATCTATTACCATAGATCTTTTGCATTAAATATCTTACCGCAATATCCTGGGGTACCACACACTGTGGACATTTGGATGTTTGATTCGCAAATCTTCGACAGGCCAAAATCAGCTGAAAAGTAGCAAAATTTATTTACTTATTATCAAATTATAGTAAGAATTCACACATTTCAATTTCATTTAACTATTTTCGTAAGCTCTTATTATAACAATTCTGAAGTCAAACAGTTTTCATTTATTTTTCCCCTTTACTTGAGACTGATATAAAAATTAGAGAGAAAAATATAGAAGTACATGAAACTTACCAACTTTTAACAAAGACTCATCAGAGCTGTCTTGATATAATAAATTTTCAGGCTGAAAAATTCCAGAAAACAAATATGAATTTTAACCATGTTGCAAAAGAACAATATCTGTGTAAACAAATATCAGTTCTTTCTAACAGTTTATAAAATTATCTTCTACCTGGCATTCCAACGAATCTAATCATTCCTTTTTCATTCTCTCTAAAAAGATTGCATTGCTCTTAAGTGCCATTGTTGTGAATTCTTTGTTGTCGTTTATTTGAACAATATCTAAATATTAAAACATTATTCATTTTATAAATAAACTTAAATCTACCTTAAGGTCCCTGTGTGCAACATCATTTTGGTGAAGAAACTGCAAGTAAAAGATAGCAAGTTGACTAAATAGTTGGACAAGAATTAAATGCTTCAAACTGTTACAATATTTTAATAAAAAGTTTAAATATTATAAGGCATTTATTGATATTCTGCTCTCCAAAAAATGATATTTCTTTCAGTACAACCTAAAAATTATGCTTGGGAAAAACAAGTACCCAGTATATGCTCAGTTTATAGAGATAACAACATGCAATAATAAACTCAGACATAATAGCACCCACTTTGACTGCATCCAACATCTGCTTGACACAATTTGCCGCATCCTTTTCACTGTAACAGCCTCTTGTTACAATCCTGCAAAATAACAAAAGGTGAATGCAGTTTCAATCAACCTAAGTGAAAACTGAGGACAAGAGAAATTGTGCTCTCCTGTTACTGTTTGCATCAAGCTCAACTCAACAAGGTCAACCTGGCTTTTGTTGTAAGCTTGAAGAAGCTGCCGAAGTATATAAAGCTATTTCTAATACTCAAAAGAGGCAAGCTATCTATTTGAACAAAATAGAAATGATAAAGTGGCCAAAGAAATAAGAGTCAGTTTTTTCTGACACCACACAGAACACTTCTTAATTCCAAACGTCAAAAAAAGAACATTCTTTTCCTTCTGTTGTCTTATAATAAGACAAATAAATGGTCACACCTTTTTTATTACTTTTCACTTAGAGGAAAAATTCTCATTTTTAACCAAGTGAATTGACTTAAACATATGCACAAGCATTCTAACCATGCCATCCATACCAGGTAGGGAAATCAACAAAAGGTATTGGTTGTTTGAGATTTTGCCAATCAAGGCCGCTTTTATATCTGACAGTGATTAGCCAAACAATGATTTATCTAGAAAAATCCATTTCACATTGTAACTAGTTATTACCAGTTTCAAATATTATGACCCAAGGAATTAAAATAAATTTCAAATAATCAGTTAGACAAATAATCCAAAATATTTTGTCGTTATCAGTCAGCATAAGTCATTATTATTCACAAATGATTCTGGATCTATTTAATTCATAGGGTGCTATATGCCTTAATATAAAAAGGACGCCACATACCTGTGTGCAATTTCAATGGAAACGAATTATTACAACAAAAACTTATCTAGGGTGACTGCTGTGGAAACTACAGACATATTTTTCGTCTTAATCCTCCCTTCCTTTTTTAACATAACCTTTCTGATTTTACTTTATTTCATGTTTCTATTTTACTATTATTGAAAATGTACCTGTTATTGAGTTCAAAAACAGATCTTATTCACACTAACCTTGAACCCATCATACACATACGAATGTAAGTGTAGTTAACACTGGGCAATAGATGGAAAGTATTGAAAATGCAATCAAAAATTGCTTCACGTAGTACTTCGCATCAATTACTTGTTATTGTATAACATGTCTGTTCATTCTCTGTAGCCAGGTTCTCCTTCTTTTAGAAAAAAAGTCCTGACACAATAAAAAAAAACTTGGATTCCAAACTTTTGCCAATATTACATGAGCTGATTGATTAAAAACTACTTTTCACCTAAAATATGCGATACTTGATTGTTCAAGTTCTGAGGCTTCATGTAGCAACTAGCCTCTTATCAAAACCACATCAGCATATTATCAAAATAATTAAAATCTTACAGTTTCTATTCCTTTCCTTCATAATCCCACTTCTAGTCTTACAACACCATAATAGTTTGCACTACAGATACCAACACCTTTATACCTTGAGAAGACCCAGGTGATGCAAACTGCTGCATAATCCTTCTACTCTGATAGCCAATAATACTTTCAACAAATAACTCAAAGTCAATTGATCCTCTTACTTGGCGATTGGTGTTTAAATTACTCTCTGTTTTAAAACAGGATTCTATCCTAGAAAATAAATTTCAAGTTAGGAATACAGTGCCTGCTCTTTATTTAAATACCAGAAGGATGATCATTTACTAGAGACAGCTGATACAAATGACAGTTTGTGTTTATAAAATGAAATGTATGAAATTTTTATAGAGTGTAAACTTTATGTAATATAATCTACTGTCCAAATACGGAACAGTACAACACCAGATGTATGATTTCAATTTCTATATGCAGATTTATCTTAATCCACCCAGTCATTTCAACACTCCAGCTCTGAGAATTGAAAGCATCAGAATGTACACATAAGATCAATAACAAGCCAAAAGCAACTGCCTATCACTTTTTAATGTACAATCCCATTATATATACAGAAAACTATGTAGCTGCCTAGATGACGTGATGGATGAAATAATGCCTAGACCAAATTCAAGGGGCCACAAGCTATTCTACCTTGTAATATATACCATTTGCTTTCAATATATAAGACATGGCATTTATCTAACTTAACTAATGTGGTTAGAAGATTGACAGGTCTGAAAATTTACTTTCAATCCCAGCTCCCCAGATCATTTTAAGTATGTTCTAAGAGAGACGAAAGGAAGATTTAAAAGCAGATAAACCAAAAGTTCTGTCTGCCATTATTTACTGACATGAGATGGACATATCAGTCTCCACTGCTGTATTGGTCTCCAGAGAAGGAAGTGCCCATAAGGCTATGGATGATAATTACTTTATCAATACCTTCAAAAGACATTCAACTGAGATAATAATTAAATAAACAGCACTTTATTTGACTTCAGTAAAGTGCCAAGAAAAAATCAATGAAAATTCTTAGATGTTTCTTCTTGCACATTTTATTGTGCTGGAGAATGGTCTCAGTGTATAATAAGACAATTAGATAATCTTTGAGATCAAGCATTGACTCTAGTCACAGTAGAAGAATAGAAAATCACCTGAACAACTGAACTGTATGCGATTTTAGCAAACACTATCTCAAATTCTTTGTGTGATATGAAAGATGATGACAAACACTAAGAATTAACAAATAGAAAGAACTGTGACAACTGAAGTCAATTAAGATTGTTAGGTGCTTGTACAGGATTAACAGAATTCTGGACATGCTGGTAGAAACAAAACGAACAAAATCCTGTAAAGATAATCTTGAAAAAACCACTCAAGCTTAAAGTCTATAACTACAGAATGTGCAGATTAATGTTCCTGCCCCAATAAGGTTACTAATCATCAGCTGAAGGAAAAGAAAATGGTCTATTGCGAATGTGCAGTACCTCTGTTCAGCTGTTTTGACTTGTTACCAATGTCACATGAAACAAACAGCAAGTAGATTGCAACGAATGTCCTATTTCTTCTGATGACCTATACAGTTTCAGTGTTCTTAGAAATATATAAGTAGGCAAACAGTACATTTGTAAAAAATCACAAAAACAGCAAAAAGCAAACAGCACAAACAAATTTGGTGGCATTATGTGTTTTTATCTGTAAAAAATATAAAATATCATTTGTGCCATTATCGCTGATGAATTCACCTAGGAAATCAATGGGAGGAGGCTCTATCGGTTTGGCCCTAGGCTCCTCTGACCCCACCCTACCCAAACATACACCACTAAATGTTGCCTATTGTGCTGGTAAATTCCCTGTATAAAAATCACTCTCACTCAGTTTATATATTCGTTATTTGTTAAGACATGGGTAAACAGGAAGGAATGTCACCTGACCCTTAAGCTGAGGACAAGTAAGGTGAAAGCTTTTTCTGTGAGAATTGTATCAATAATGAAAGCTTCACACATATTCCAAATACACATCTGCTGGGAAATATTCTTCACAAAAGCTGGTTTGCCAAAATTCAAGTTATAAGAATCTGTAGATCTGCAGATCAATTTTTTCATTATTTATTTACAACAGAATATCTAGCACCTGAAATTATAAGAATTGATATCCAAAATGTGTATCATATTCAAAAATTGCTATGACCTAGTGGTCTGAATAACCATTATAAGTCAACAGGAAAAGACTATTTGGTTCTTACACGTAGTAAAAGATTAATCTACAACAAATTTACTGGAGGTTAGCTTGAAATATCATTACCTTTCAACAGTTGAAGAAAAAAAAAATCAAATTTAATCATTTACATTTTGCAGTGTATATTTGTATTTGTAAAGTGCATTAAGTGGGTAAACTGACATACCTGTCAAACAACTCCCCTCCTGTCACCAATTCCAATACCAGGTATATTTGAGTAGGTGTTTCATATATTTCTTTCAGTCGAATCTGAAAAGATAACAACTCCCGTTCAGTACTGAGATGAACTGCATGTACTTTTCAAGTAACAGGGTTTCAACTTCAGTAGAAAAGATAAAGCTACAGAAAAAATACAAATATTCCTAAATATTCTTACAATACTCAATATATTCTTGATGTAATGTACATTTTGGCAGTTGAATAATTGTATTAGGCAAAATCAAGATATATATGTATATAACAATTAAATCAATCGTAATGAAAAAAATAAATACAATCATTCTCTGTTATTGAAAAGCATATGCATTGAACACTGTCCCAGCTATTATAATGCTTCTACTTTCATTATATTACGGAATCTAAATGGATGGGAGCTAGTGTGATAAAATAACAGCCAACCTCTATGAAATCCATACAAGCTTGTAATATTGATAAACTAGACCATAGAGAGCATGAGTGGGTGAGCTTCTAAGTTGGCTTGTGTTGGTAAATGTTTCCTGAAATCCAATCAAACTTTACCTTTCTTTGTGAGATTTCTCAATGCTTACATGTATACTTAGTAAGACAATAGCAAAGTACATTTACTGAATCAAATGGTGGTGGTATGGAAGGTTTCTGAGTAGCCAATAAAATCAATAGAGGGAAATAAAAAATGTTTATTTTGGCCTGGCTGACATGTTGTGTGTAGGTGTAAAGACTTCCTTCCTTGATGAAGCCTGCTGGACAAATTTGTTATCTTGCATTTTACAGCCTACATGCTCCTATCTAATCCTTTCTTTTTTTTTTGTATGTGTTTTTATCAGTAGAAAATATAAAATATCTTTTTTTTGTGTGCAATAAATGCACGCAAGGACAAATGTGTTTTCAAGTATTTGGCAAAGTTTGATATTACATATATGGCAATTTGAAAACATTCAATATGAAAACTGAACAACAAGCAGGATTATATCACACAGGGTATCTCTTGTCTCCATTTTGCACCCGTAGTCTAAATGTCAAACATTCATGTACATGTATAAAACCTCAGTTGAATCCGGTAAAATCTGCTTCATATAAAAAAGTCACCCCTTGAGTATACTGCTATATAAAAAGAGAAGCAAACTAATGACAAATAGCTTAGCTAGGTCACATTGAAGCCTGACCCTAGAAACCAGATTGTGAAGCACAAACAGTTGGGATTGAACATGGATAACTGCATTAACACCCTTATAACTCTTGGTGTGGTAGATATACAAGCTCAAGAACACAAAAGTTAGAAATTAATCTCTGGCCACTTGGCTTCAAGAAAAATATATCCATCAAAATGTTAAGTTTGCAAATTGCAGATAAAGAATAAAACTTCAATCATTTTAGTATTAATCAATAACATATCTTATTTCCTAACTTTTGTTAGCAAAGAAAGTTTGTATCAGTATTTGGCCATGTATAACACTTTCACGCCTTTTTCTTTCTTACAAGCAAAACAAGCAACTTAATCAAATTATTCTAAAGATAAACTGCAGGAAGTAACATTTATTAGTATCAATTAAGAAAAGTTTCAAAGACCTGAGCCTCAATATTCTATAAGTTTATATCAATATCATGAACCAATACAGACAGGTGAAATATCACTGATAAAAGTGCAAATATTTCATTTCAATTTATTTGTAAGACCATCATTGCTTGATAAATTGCTTTAAAGCACTTTGAACTGTCCAGTTTAATTTTCAAAACAAGGCAGCNTCGCAAACACAATCTAAAATTCTTTGTGTGATATAAAAGATGATGACAAACACTGAGAACAAATAGAAAGTACTATGACAACTGAAGTCAATTAAGATTTTTAGGTGCTTGTACAGGATTAACAGAATTCTGGACATGCTGGTAGAAACAATACGAACAAAAACCTGTAGAGATAATCTTGAAAAAACCACTCAAGCCTAAAGTCTATGACTACAGAATGTGCAGATTAATGTTCCTGCCCCAATAAGGTTACTAATCATCAGCTGAAGGAAAAGAAAATGTTCTTTTGCGAATGTGCAGTACCTCTGTTCAGCTGTTTTGACTTGTTACCAATGTCACATGAAACAAACAGCAAGTAGATTGCAACTAATGTCCTATTTCTTCTGATGACCTATACAGTTTCAGTGTTCTTAGAAATACATAAGTAGGCAAACAGTACATTTGTAGAAAATCACAAAAACAGCAAAAAGCAAACAGCACAAACAAATCTGGTGGCTTTATGTGTTTTTATCTGTAAAAAAATATAAAATATCATTTGTGCCATTATCGCTGATGAATTCACCAAGGAAATCGATGGGAGGAGGCTCCTCTGACCCCACCCTACCCAAACATACACCATTAAATGTTGCCTATTGTGCTGGTAAATTCCCTGTATAAAAATCACTCTCACTCAGTTTATATATTCGTTATTTGTTAAGACATGGGTAAACAGGAAGGAATGTCACCTGACCCCTAAGCTGAGGACAAGTAAGGTGAAAGCTTTTTCTGTGAGAATTGTATCAATAATGAAAGCTTCACACATATTCCAAATACACATCTGCTGGGAAATATTCTTCACAAAAGCTGGTTTGCCAACATTCAAGTTATAAGAATCTGTAGATCTGCAGATCAATTTTTTCATTATTTATTTATAACAGAATATATCTAGAACCTGAAATTATAAGAATTGATATCCAAAATGTGTATCATATTCAAAAATTGCCATGACCTAGTGGTCTGAATAACTATTACAAGTCAACAGGAAAAGACTATTTGGTTCCTACACATAGTAAAATGTTAATCTATAACAAATTTACTGGAGGTTAGCTTGAAATACCATTACTTTCAACAGTTGAAGAAAAAAAAATCAAATTTAATCATTTATATTTTGCAGGGTATATTAGTATTTGTAAAGTGCATTTAGTGGGTAAACTGACATACCTGTCAAACAACTCTCCTCCTGTCACCAATTCCAATACCAGGTATATTTGAGTAGGTGTTTCATATATTTCTTTCAGTCGAATCTGAAAAGATAACAACTCTCGATCAGTACTGAGATGAACTGCATGCACTTTTCAAGTAACAGGGTTTCAACTTCAGTAGAAAAGATAAAGCTACAGAAAAATACAAATATTCCTAAATATTCTTACAATACTCAATATTTTCTTGATGTAATGTACATTTTGGCAGTTGAATAATTGTATTAGGCAAAATCAAGATATATGTATATAACAATTAAATCAATTGTAATGAAAAAAATAAATACAATCATTCTCTGTTATTGAAAAGCTGTGCATTGAACACTGTCCCAGCTATTATAATGCTTCTACTTTCATTATATTACGGAATCTAAATGGATGGGAGCTAGTGTGATAAAATAACAGCCAACCTCTATGAAATCCATACAAGCTTGTAATATTGATAAACTAGACCATAGAGAGCATGAGTGGGTGAGCTTCTAAGTTGGCTTGTGTTGGTAAATGTTTCCTGAAATCCAATCAAACTTTACCTTTCTTTGTGAGATTTCTCAATGCTTACATGTATACTTAGTAAGACAATAGCAAAGTACATTTACTGAATCAAATGGTGGTGGTATGGAAGGTTTCTGAGTAGCCAATAAAATCAATAGAGGGAAATAAAAAATGTTTATTTTGGCCTGGCTGACATGTTGTGTGTAGGTGTAAAGACTTCCTTCCTTGATGAGGCCTGCTGGACAAATTTATCTTGCATTTTTACAGCCTACATGCTCCTATCTAATCCTTTCTTTTTTTTTTTTTGTATGTGTTTTTATCGGTAGAAAATATAAAATATCATTTTTTTGTGTGCAATGAATGCACGCAAGGACAAATGTGTTTTCAAGTATTTGGCAAAGTTTGATATTACATATATGGCAATTTGAAAACATTCAATATGAAAACTGAACAACAAGCAGGATTATATCACACAGGGTATCTCTTGTCTCCATTTTGCACCCGTAGTCTAAAACTAACATTTGTTCTAAATGTCAAACATTCATGTACATGTATAAAACCTCAGTTGAATCCGGTAAAATCTGCTTCATATAAAAAAGTCTCCCCTTGAGTATACTGCTATATAAAAAGAGAAGCAAACTAATGACAAATAGCTTAGCTAGGTCACATTGAAGCCTGACCCTAGAAACCAGATTGTGAAGCACAAACAGTTGGGATTGAACATGGATAACTGCATTAACACCCTTATAACTCTTGGTGTGGGAGATATACAAGCTCAAGAACACAAAAGTTAGACATTAATCTCTGGCCACTTTGCTTCAAGAAAAATATATCAATCAAAATGTTAAGTTTGCAAATTGCAGATAAAGAATAAAACTTCAATCATTTTAGTATTAATCAATAACATATCTTATTTAGATATGCAAAGAAAGTTTGTATCAGTATTTGGCCATGTATAACACTTTCACGCCTTTTTCTTTCTTACAAGCAAAACAAGCAACTTAATCAAATTATTCTAAAGATAAACTGCAGGAAATAACATTTATTAGTATCAATTAAGAAAAGTTTCAAAGACCTGAGCCTCAATATTCTATAAGTTTATATCAATATCATGAACCAATACAGAAAGGTGAAATATCATTGATAAATGTGCAAATATTTCATTTAAGTTTATTTGTAAGACCATCACTGCTTGATAAATTGCTTTAAAGCACTTTGAACTGTCCAGTTTAATTTCAAAATAAACACTAACTTAAGTTAACTTGTTAATTCAAGTGATCAGACAACAACAACAAATCATAAACAAAACCATGCACATGCTAAAAATATGTGCATCTTGTGGCCATCAAAATTCTAATTTACATATTCTGATTAAAGTAGAAAATGAAACAACAACTATAATCTTGCCTTTTGGGCAGGGACACTTACTGGAGCATGGCTGACTAGTATGAACTGGTGATAAATACAATACTTAATTCCAAATGAGAGAAGAATAGTGAAGTGGTCAAAGTACAAATATTGTTTGCTTGATTTGCACTAGAAAATACTAATTCATAAGCAAACATTCCTCATTCTGACAAGAAGTTAAGGATGACAAAGTTCCCAATCTGGGAAGCTAATTGAACTGCCTTATCTGATCAAATTCTACCTATCATCCCTAATTAACTGCTGTGGGAGGAAAATAAGCAAACAGACTAGTGCTCCATACACCTTAATTCAACCTGTTATTTGCATTTTCTTTTGCTGAGTCAATAAGTTTACAAGAAAGACAATAAAGCATGCCTTTACAACTATGAAGGCCAAATTGAACAAACAGAAATTTGAGAATTTTTGCCTGTTCTCTATATGTCTGTTGCTATATACATATTTTTGACATTTTTCAATCAATTGCTTGGCATCAGTGAGATAGGAAAAAAGCTGTATAGCATCAATTATTTATTCTTTATAAAAATGTCCATAAGTTTATTTTTGCACAAGGTTGTAACAATATAGTTATGAAATAGAGAGGTACCATTTAATTAACTTAAAAAATTGCTTCCATCCCACAAGTTTGCCGACTTAAATAATTTTAACTTAGTTATTGCTTTTAAATGAACCATTTAGGACAAAGCTCAACAGTAAAACTAATCATACACAAGAACTTTTCTCTGGGGCAATTCAATTAGTTTGATGAAAAAGAACAATAAGCCAACAATAGGCACAAAACGTGCTGCTAAGCATATATATATTAATGACATTATTAATTGGTGCAAAATGAAGATTGTAAGTTGCCAAATGTTTTTTGAATATGGGACAAAATTGATCAAAAGGAAGTGGATGGAAATCAATAAATTTTGATTAATAAATAAGAAAAAAATAAAATTAAATAAATTGGCACCTGTACACATATGAAAAATCAGATAAAACAAATTGGTACACATATGAAGCATACCAGTAATAGTTGAAAAAATGCTAATTTTGACTGGGTTTTCATGTTTCCAATAGCAACCACGTGTAATTGAGAATAAATGATTAGTGGTAAATGCCAGCAAGTGAAATAAGAATTTGAGTCGGGAAGACTGAAACTTGTGACCATACAATCTTATTGCACATAAAGAGATATATATTCATACATCAAATGATCCTATATGAAGCAACAGCAAAGCAAACACTATGGCAAATTAAATTATGAATAAATGATAAAGTCGCTGTTTTTCTGTTAGTGCTAAATAGGTAGCCTATAGTGGCATGAATACAAACTATTGGAATTTGGGAATGTATACAGTGAATATCAAATTGGTCAGAGAAAAGGGACATTAACAAGATTTGCCACCTCACACATCCATCTTGCAGGTAAACCTCTTTGGGTACTTCATTCTATGTCAATTTTTATGTTGCCTTCTAATCTGAACAAAAGTTCTACATCAAATTAATATGCAATAACAACCAAAATCTGACTTTCATTTAAACTAAAAAAAAAATCAAAACATAACTGGGAATGGCTAATTCATTTTAATATACATATTTACAAAGGTGCCAGAAATGCTAAGAATCCCAACAAAAAATAAATGCTTATATTTTTTTCCAGTAGAACTACTGACAGACAAATGTCCCCTTTCTGGTTTTCCAGAAAACTAGCAATGCACATTCAGCTGTACATAACAAAGGCAGGCAAATATCAATTATATGAGGACGATGTCAACAGAAGACCTATTAAGATAAAACATCACGTCTACCACCTGTGTATCATATGTCAACAATATAGCATGAACACCTAATCTTCCAGGAAAACTGGTTGTCCAGGGCACACACACACATTTGTACCCCCCCTGCTCCCTCATATGGTTATCAATTGAACATGGACCTATGTTGCCAGGGTAGAGAAGATATATTTTGACATACTAATAATATTTATTCTTATGGGAGAATTGTTTGGCTTGGTTGATGCTTAGTGTTTCTACAGTGATAAAGGCACTAAAATAACAGCATCTACATCAGAACATGATAGATTATGGGGGAAGCACAAATCAATATTTTAAGTCTACAGATGCTTCTAGAACTATCTCACTTCCAACAGGAATTGCAAAGGAAGGCAATCCTTATCCTTGTGCCTAAAGTTAAATCCCAACATACCCTTAATAAGGTCTCCTTTGCCAAAAGCGCTCTCACTGCCACAGCATTGTTTATGGATTCAATGCTGCTTAGTGACACCAGAATTTCCAGAACAATGTATCACTTATATCCACAGGCAGAACCCCTTGGGCTAACAACATACTGAACACAATAATGCATTTGGCCCCAGAATGTGTTTAGATAAATGACTACTAAAAACCACCAGCAGCTGCTTACCACATTACTATGCTTCAGCTTCAACAGCACCCCACATTCTGTTCTGACAATCTTCTTGTCAACCTGAAACACAATGTAGACACATATATAAAACACACAGACAGATTTTCAAATAATTCCTAAAAAGGTCTAATGAAATACAGATATTTTGTACCAAAATGTTCATCTGCAGTAAGGCAGAATTTGTTTTTTATACAGACTACCAGATCCCCAACCCATAGGCCAATTAACTCAATATATAACCCATGAAGACCCAAAAACACAGCTTAAATGCATTGAGAATATTGAAATACTTTAGTTGATAAGCTTAATCAAGTTCTGGTACTCCCCACCATCCCCTCACTTCATTGCAAAACCCCAGCTGATGTGTGGACAGACAACAGATGCTATATGCTATGTAAGACATATATACTTTTTTCTAATGAAATGCATTTGCAATTAATCCTGTGGCTGATTTTGCACCTATGCACCTTTGCTGCTACAAACTTAGAAAGTTAATGAATCTTCCCAACACAATGCAGTTAATTTCTATCCATGTTTGGGCAGATGAAGGGGAAGGTCAACAATAATTTCCAGCATCAATTGAAGTACATGTAAAGTGAATGCAAATACAAGGAATTAATTGCAAAAGAGTCTATTGATCTGCCCCATATCTGGCTCAGTGTATTCAAAGATTGCAGTTTATAAAACCACCAATCTCTGACATCAGAACAAAGTTTGGCTCTAATCAATCAATGGACACATTTACTAAATTGAGCTGAACTGCTCACTGATGCAAGTAAATTCTCTGGTTTGTTTTAGAAAACCCTGATGCCTCGTCTAGTTCCTTAGAACAGTCAGCACTAAATGCTTTAGTCGATACCACATATCCTTATATCTGTCTAGTCCAAGGATATAAACAATTAATTAAGTTTAGTTGTGGTACCTGTATCTAAATGGATTTGCTGTGTATGCTCTTACGTGTCCAGGAAAGGATTGGAAGTTCTAATTTAGTACAATTAAGCCTTCAGTGTTTGCTAAATGCATTTGCATGGATGGCCAAGCCATACAAATATTTTCCAATGGACACAGAGATCTACTGCTGACAGCTAGTAGGGCACACCCTGTCATGCCAGTTACTATATAGTATATTAGTATTACAATAACATAATGCAAATTAAGGTGTGTTGGTTTCCATTCCCATTATATCAGGTTTTAGGATCTTCAGGCCAATGAACTCTCATTTTGGGAGGAAATGAAACCTCAGAACAACAAACTTTGAGCTACTGAACCCTCAGACAAATCAACATCATGACCAATTGATTTTGGGAAAAATTGATGGACTTTTCATCTTTTTCTCAAACCAATGAACTTTAAAAATTCTAATAGAATCTTACACAATCAAATAGTTTCCCAGTAGAAAATGATTCCAAAGATTCATTTGTCTACAAATACAAAGTTGGTCTAGCTGACAAGTCTTAATGCTCAGCGGATGTTAAACTGAAACAATTTGATATATGAACTTGAAAGCAGAATGCTGAATGTTAGATTAGTTACCAGTTTAAAAAGTTTACCCCCACTAAGTTCCAGAATGTGAATAACAACTGCTCCACCAGATGCCTAAGTACCACTTTTACAATGTTATTTTAGTATGTTTATCAAAGAAAAATGGAAGGACACATAAATCCTGTTTTGTTAATAATCCACTAAATCATTACACTGATAATTACCTAAGGCAAGATTCTACAAAACCTTTTAGAGATTTGATTTTATGCTTACTTTCTTGGTCAATATCTTGACAGCCCATGGTTGGGCTAGACCCTTTTGTTCACATCTATAGACAACTGATGTAGCGCCCCTGCAAAAGAAAACGGGTTAATTATTCTATAATAACCACAGAAAAGGACGGAATATATAAATAAACATGCCCCTAAGATGATAGATCAAGAAAAACAGACCTGATTTAGGGTGGATACCAGTAGCTACCTTCCAAATATTTATAGGGTTATTTTTGACTTTTAGAAAACATTTCAGAACACATTTCATTTTTTAGAAAACAATTGTCTGCATCCAGTGGCAACAACCCAACTCAAATTATAATGAACTTACAATATTTTATCTTTCTATTATTCATTTTTCTTTATCATGTTTTTCATTTTTTTTACATTTGCCTGATGAAGAAAAGATGCCTTCCTATTTATGATACATTCAGATCAGGACAGTAGCCAGCAATTTTAAAAGGAGGGGGGGGGGGGGGTTCTGAAAAAGTGGACCTTTTCCATGAAACCTTTGGGTACGTATTATTCAAATTTCACCAGAGCAGAACCTTTTCCAGTAGAAAGGGCCAGTTTGTTTGAACTACCCAACCCTCAACCCCCCTGGCCATGACCCTCCATTTGCATGAGAAAATTGACCATAAACTGTTTATATAAGAAATCCATTATCTGTCCATGATAATTAATCCATTAGGCAAGGCAATAGATTTTCAATATTTCAAGTTGTATTTATTCATATAACACTTATTTCAACTAACCCTTTTGTGTCAATCCCTAGAGAAAAAGCTAAAACAAAGGATACATATTCAACATTGCATGCCAACCATACAAAACCCTGTATTTCATTACTATCATTTTGCATCTCCAGTGACATTTGATTGTCCCTAGGCTCCACAGAAAAAAACATTGGATGTGGCATGTCACTACATAACTATATATCTGCTGCAGGGCACCCCTGTTAATGGGGCCATTCAGAATAGATGATCCGAGTACTAACTGATCTGCTGACTAAATATGGCCGACCACATTTCAAAAGCAATGTTGCTGATTCCCGGTGGTCTCCCTGCCTCCACACGCACCATTAAATGGATTAAATCTCGCCTCTGAAGTTTAATTGCTAGACCCCTGCAGCGACAGTGGAGGCAGGAAGGCCATCACAGAATCAGCAGCATCGCTTTTGAAGTAGGGTCCGCCATATTTAGTCGGCGGATCAGTTAGTAATTGGATCACCTATTCTGAATGGCCCCAATGAAAAGAAAAAAAGAAGCTGCTTCTTGCAAAAAGAAAAAATAGACTTGATAATATAATACTAGAAATCTATACAAAAACATTTTGCACCACACACACACACACACACACACACACACACACACACAAAAAAAAAAAAAAAAACATTTTGCATTGCACACACACTAATTCTTTAGATAGAAACGATAAAACTGATAAAGATTATGTTGGTCCAAATTAACCTAAAAATTAAACATAAAACATACCCGTATAGTCAGACCATTTTCATTTACTAACAGCACCATTTGCTGTAAGTGCATGTTAATTATGCACTTTTTTGCATTATATCATATGCAGCAATTTTTCAATCTAGATATTGAAAGTATGTATGGCTTTTAAATACTAAAAAGATGTGATGCAAAGGTTATACAGGACCAAGCAAAATTGATAAGTTGGTTAACTAACTATAAAGAAGTTTGGTAGAAGAAATTTTATTTTTAGATTCTGTTTAGCACAGTAGCTAAAGCTTTTTAAGGGGGATGTTAACCTCACTGAGTGGGCTATTTTGTACCTCTACTTTACGGCTTTCTTAGGTCAATTGTATATTTCTCCCACTTATCATACCAGTGCATTTTTTTTTCATTTGAAAAAAAATTAATTAATTGATGTAAAGCTGCAAAAAAAGGAGGGTCGGTCGCGCTCATTAACCAACTTATCAATTTACTATTTACTAACATACTATTAATAACATAGCAAACTTTTCTGTGCAGAAGCTGGAAATTATAAAGTGGGTTTTCATATATACTACAACGCAAAATACTCCTCCAAACGTCGTAAATCTGACAGAGAATTTGATATTTCATTGATGCATTGGGCATCCATTCAGCAAAGGATTTACTTCAACCACACAGACTAAGTTAAAAATTCCTTAGCAACCCAGTAATCTATTGACTATATAAATTGAATTACATACTTTCCCAATTCTTTAACTATGTTGTAGTAATCTTCAAATTTCTTGTCTTTTATACTATCTTCAATCCAATAGTCTTGCATTTTTTCTACTGGCATAATCGTTAGTTTCTTCTGTAGCTTGCGCTCTCACCGGATATCGAGTCTTACGATCAGTCTAGTGCGTGTTCAGGGGTTTTGTTGTTGCTTCACTATGCGTGACGTCATGAAATTGAAGTGAGCATGCGTATCGAGAAGGGATTCCCCAATTTGACGTCATTTTGTGAAATTTACCTCGCCAATATTACAGCTTGTCAAACAAATCTTTTAATCTGCTGTCAAATCACCCACAGTATTAACTAAGAAGTTAAATAGTTTGGTGTATAGCCCCTTTTCCTGGGGCTAGCTCGACTGCGTCCAAAAGGACCAATAAACCGGGATTCACTCGCTTTTTCAAGTTGATCGTTGAACGATCTAAAAGGCCTAAAAGGCACAAGTAACAGATTTTAGAATTATACCACAATAGTCTACCAAATTGCAAAAAATCCGTTAAAGTATTTCTAAACAAATCTATCAAAAATTGACCTACGTAAACTAGTTACTAATGGAAGCTTGATAAACAAAAACTCGGCGCTACTACAAGTCACGCGTTCAAAATTCAATAAAAATCGAAACGGGCATCAAACTACCCACAAACAACTGTGGTTGCTATATAGTGTGGTCTTTTTTGTGGTTCTAAAATTTACCGATCGAGATGAAAGCAGAACGTGAAGATTTACACAAAACAATGGCAGTGTTTTTCAGCTGAATATAGGCCTAACCACGTTTTCAGCTTTGTAAAGAATCAATAGCAGCGAGCAGTCCAGTTTTCAGGTTCTCACTTCTGGTGCACCATTTCAGCAACAGCAACTCATCAGAATTTTATCAGGATGTACATATGTGAAAAACATTAATCAATTTTCTTTAAAAAGCCTACAATCACTTACATTTATGTAAGAATACCTTTGAAGACTTATCAAAAATGCATGTACATATTTATTTTTACAACCAAAGAAACCTAATAATCAAAATTTTACATACATAACATACACATGCCTTGATCATAACTGTCACAGTCTGTGCTATTGATTCGTAATTTTTCATTAGGGCTTTAGCATATAGCATTAGCCTAGTAGGCGTACCTTGTGGAAAAGTGCACACTGTCAACTTCAAGACCTTCAAGCCTCTCACCTTCTGTTAACTATAACAAACTCTGTAATCAACCCCAGTGTCTTACAGTATCACAAACATGATAAAGACTCAGATCTTTTCAATGGGCAAAAATGCTTTAACTTTCAAGTGCATAATTTTAAAGTCACAAAAATCATATTTCTATGTAACATTTGTGGTGCTTTTAATGTATAGAAGAGAACTATCAGGGATGAGACCAGTCCTCACTGAAAAAGTAGGAAAATTGACCAGGGATCCAGGGTATATGATTCACAAGAATGACCCAAGTGACCCTGATAAAGTCAGAATTCCGACATAAGTCGGAAAAGTCTCATCAGTGACTATAGAGCAGCCTACCTTTTAAATTTGTTTCTACAATTCAGTGGGAATGTTCTAATTTTAAGAAATCACGACTTAAAAATAGTATCTGTAAAATTCACAATTTCCCCCCATTGAAAATATAGAGTAATTACATACATCTAGCACAGAAGAGAAATTCACCAGGAGTCCACATTTTTCATATTTAAGTGTGCTTCAAGCACCTCTTTTGGTGCCCACATTTTTCTAATAAAGGCATGTACCACGAGCACTTCAAGTTTCAAAAAGTAGAAATAACATTTTGAATCGAGAGAATACCTCTTTAAAAAATGCAAATAATACTGGTAGAGAAAATACAAAAAATATCATTTTGACTGAAATGGTTTATTTTCTTACAAAATGTTGCATGGAAGCAGATAATAATTTGATCCTAATTCTTCAATTATAGGCAAAATGGGTACCAACCTGTAGGCTGTATACAACATATAGAATGGATAATACCAACATTTCTAAATTATCATCTTCCATTCAAAACCTTTTGTCAACAGGGAATTGTCAATTAAGCACAATAAGCATGACACAAGTTAAACCATCTGTATTAAAATATTGCCAAATCATGTACGGTCCAAATTAAGATGGAAGGTCATATTTAATAAATAAACCTTCCGCTTATGACAGTAATCTGAAATAGCATGTTTACAATTTACATGGCAGTTATATACTAACCATAAAATATACTGTTTCTTTGAGCAAAGGCAAAGCTCACAAAGTCAAAGGTACACATTTAAGGTTTATTATTACACATTCATACCAGCTATATATTATCACTGAGTACATTATCATTTTCACAAACACACTTTAATGTGACATTAAAAAGAAAACTGTGAATTTATAATGTGCACATGACTTAAGTAAAAGGTTTTACAATTTTGTCTGGACACAAGGATATTGCACTAGTTCTTTACAGGTGAAAAAAAAATGAAAACAATACTAAGATGCTATTAAAGGTTCACCTTTCTTACAATATAAGACAAAGCAAACTACAAATAAAAAAATAAACTCACACTAATATTCTCAGCTCAGAGTGGTCATTTACAAGCATATCAATTCCAATGAAGAAATACACCTGTTATAATTATAACCTTGAGAAAATTGCATTTTCATGAACAACAAAATATTGCATCTGCTTTGGGATGTGTCATTGCCTTGGTACAAGTAAAAATGTGGGAAGAGGGGGGGGGGGGGAGTACTGGGAAATGAAGAAACAAGCACGGTGATGGTTGAATTTAAACACAAGTCTAACTACAATCACATGTTCAAAGAACATAGAAATAAATAAATATTCTACAAATGCTGTTCCAAATATAAGCCAGATAATTTTTTCATTAAATCTGTCAGTAGCACAGAGAAATCTAGAACGATTTTAGTTCTGAAGCTCTTGATGTTATTGCAGAAAGATTTCACTCTGGTTGTCAAAGACTTGGAAATGACTTCAATTCTCTGTTTTTTCATAGCAAAATGAAGATTCTGTCCTCCCTGAGATCCAGGTTTACTTTTTCCCATCTGCTTCTGGTTTTACTATCTGGTATGTGATGAGATATTCTGGATAAGCCTGCAAAATGTTGAAGATCAGTGTTTAATTGTTTAAACATTAAAATTTAGACTTTAACTAAGGTAAAAATCCACTCTCTGGGTGGTGTGTTTGTTTCTTCCAGATAAGCTTTCACAACTAAAATGTTTCAGGCAATAAAGCACATAGAAAACAACTGATGAAGTGCAAGTCTCTTATATATATATATATTGTGCAAACTCTTGGTAGTCCCCAAATCAACTCACTACAGCTGCATTCATATCAGTGGACTAACTAGTCCGCAGGCCAAATGTGTCAACCGACAAAAAAGCTTGCCGTCTAATTATAGACACTAAATAGATTTCCCGTGGTAAAGTAGGTCAGCCATATTTGACCCGTGGACTAGTTAGTCCGTTATTCTGATTGCGGCCTAACACACCTGGCCTAATTCAGCCTTAAAGCACCACAAATACCTACCTGCTCTCCCCTGTACACCACATATTCAGCAAAGGTCAAGGCACCCATGCTGGGCCGCCCGATCACTGAGTGGTGGCCAGGAGGCGAGTGTGCCATTTTGATGGCGCTAAACTGTAGGAAAGACTTCCCAAGGGTCACACGACAAAGAACCAACTGTCTGAAAGAAAGTAATAATCCTGATGTATAGTTTACCCACCTGCTCACCCCTGTACACAACATACTCAGCAAATGTTAAACCACCCATACTAGGCCGGCCAATAACAGAATGGTGACCTGGTGGGGAATGGGCCATTTTGACAGCACTAAACTGCAGGAATGACTTGCCAAGTGTGGCACGACACAATAATAGCTGCCTGAAATAGATTGGATATATAAATATCAAAGCAAAGCTAAGACAAAAGATGAGCACAAATAAAACTTGAATTATCCTTGTTGCAGGTGTATCCCATCTTCTCTGATCATAGAAAATAAAAACAATAGCATTTTTTCAATAATTTGAATACCAATGATAGAAATGTACATTTTCAAAATCCGTTTCATTTTTAAAAATTAGTACTTCTTAAAAAGTTTCTAGCTTGAATGAAACTAATTCAGCTTATTGTTATGCTACGAAGAGGTTCTTACCTATGACAAATGTAGCATGACTTGTCCTTGTGTACTGGACATCCAGTTCCTCCACCAATGCCATATACATACTGGTTACTTTTAGATGAATTCTCAGCAAAATATATACCTGTCATTCAATGAAAAAACGGCATATAAATCACAAAACCAATACACAATGAGCAACTGGAGACATGCATTGATTATATCAACTTGAGAAGCAAACTTGTTGCTTCCCCCCCCCCCCCCTCCCTTTTTTCACCTATTCACACACGAGACATACAATTGAGGTACAAGCTCAATGAACATATATGACACTAGAAACATATCCTTTTATCCAAAATCTTTTATTATTATGTGTTTCTGTCACTCACCTGCTCCAAACATGCCTCCAATGTAAGCATGCCTCTCATCGAAACCCTTGTGAACTATAGCATTAATAAATGGGGAGCCATGGAAAAGCAGCCTTTCATTATCATGGCCATGGTTTTCATCTGCAACTTCCTTTTTCCTGTGCTGATATCTCTCCCACAGCCTCTTGTTACGGATCTTCTGAATCTGATGTGAAGATTAGAAATAAAACTCACAATCACATAAGAGCTCTTGAAGCAAACATATTACAATTTGTTTCTGATTTCTCTACAACAAATAATACATAATGCAATTTTTTTCACGTACCTTGATAATATTATATTTATCAAATATTCCTCCCACATTGTCTTTATGTTCACGAATTGTGCTTTGCATCTGTAATCATGAAAATACAATTTTCATCAATCCAAAAAAAAAAAAACATGAGTAAAGTATACAGTAACATATATTTGCACAATAAAGTTACAAATTTTCATCAAATGACATGCTCTATAGGACAAAAAAACTGCTGATGTAAGAGATGAAAGTACTCTTTTTATTAATCCTAAAAAGTATAGGATGGGTATGAATTAAAACACTTAAGAATTTAACAATGTGATTACAGGACTTCCTGTGCTGGCACATCTTTTGGCAGACAACGCTTTACTTTTCTCAAAACTGAACTCTAGCTTTCTCACACAGTAACTCAGAATCACTCACCTGTTCCTCCACAGACACATATTCTGCATCATCAGTAGTAAGATCTATGAGGATGGTGCCTTGTGGATTACTGTGTGTGGCTGGGGTGAACGGCATGGCTGAAAGGAGATACAACACATTTCAATACTTGTGACTGTAATTAGATATAGTGCACACATAAAGATGTTAATAAGGACCCAAAGTTAATTACGTAACAATCTCAAATATTAAAAACATCATCTTTATAAAAATTGCATCTTAAACAGGAGTCTATTGCAGTTAAAACCTAAAAAGGCACACTGTTCTAAATAGTACTTACGTTGAGCAGCACCAGAAGGAAGTTTTTCAATCCCTTTTAAAATTTTATGTCGATGTCCATAGGCATTAATGCCAATATCTTTAAGTTCATCGTGCCTCATTTCAACTAAAATGTCCATAGTGATCTGTTCACGTTCAAAAATGTCTTTCAACTGATCTAAGCCAATGCTGCTGAGGAAAGATGCAACACTCATATTTTCCAGGTCCTTTTCGCCTTCAATTCTACCCCTGTCTATGCAGCCATCTCCAGTGTTAGGCTGGCTGATACCAATACCACCTACTGCTCCAACTAAATTATCTAGACCATTAGAGGCACCCCTGTAAGAAACAAATCAAGACTTCACACTGAATGCTTTCAAGGCTAATGTTTCAGTTCAACTTTCCCCGTTCAGCTTAGACAATGTGGGAGAACTTATGCACTATACTTTGAATTTCATTTATTATAAAAGAAGGGGATAACTTTAATGGAACAGTTTCAACCACTTGATCAGTACAGAGAAAATGTTTACAAAAACTTTTAAGGGAGCTTTAGTAAAACTGTGAATCACCTTGCTCATTCATTTATGTAATAGACTTAAAATTATTTAATAAACAACCCAGTTTTGAGTCTCCAATAACTTACACTGGGCCTGCTAGAGTAGGAACTGCAGCTTTGGTTGTTGTTGGTGGCATCAGAGCAGGGGGCATTGCATCCTGCAGCAACACTTTCACATCTTCTGCCTGGAAATAAAGATTGCAAAAATGTATAGAATTTTTATCCTTGGTATAACTTGCACAAAATAACTCAAAGGTCCACATTTATTTTAAAGCAATATTGCAATTAAAAATATGCAAACATTAAAATATGACCCACAAGGCCCTTCAAATTAAGCTTGTACAACTATGGCAAGGCATTTTATAACTCCAATGCCTCTACAAACACTTCCTTTACATAAAAAGTCACAGGAGTACATGTAAATTATCAATTATACAACCAATTCAAAATTTGTTCATTAGAAGTTTAAAATATTTTACTGTGGTCAAGTCATGAGGTGTTTGGCCTTCTTGGTTCTTCATAGTTGGGTCAGCACCATGAGCAAGCTAGGAAATATAAAGAAATGAAATATATTCCCTGACAAATCCCTCATCTATTCTCCCTTGCATCATATCAATTAATATAAAAAATACACTGTCTTTGAATTAGACTTCTGTCTTGTAAATATCATTTTTAAAATTAACTTTTATTAATATCACACATTTTTCTGTCAATAAAATTTACTTACCAATAATGCACACAGTTGTGTTCTGCCTTTCTGTGAGGCTTCATGCAATGGGGTAAAACCCCACCTGTCCACAGCATTAACATTGGCACTAAATTTAATCAGGAGGGCAGCAATATCCACATGCTGAAAAATAAATAATTTCTTAATTTAAAAAAAACTGCATCAAGATAATAGATCCAGACAGGAATTTTGTATCTCCATCTGACCGATTTGTTTTTCAAGCAGCACTGATGCCTTGGTACACCACTATTATAAAACTCTATTTGGCAATGCATACATTTAAGGTTTAATAACTTCCTGGGAGTTAAATTCCTTATTAAAACAGTTTGCTAACCCCATAAGAAGAAGCATTGTGCAGAGGTATAAGTCCTCCTTTGTCCTGGGCATTCACATCAGCTCCATGTTCCAGAAGAAACTCTGCCACTTCAACATTATTATATCCAGCTGTAACAGATATATAAAGATATTTTTCAAAAATGAAAAGATGAAAAAAAATATGCGTTTGCATTTGTAATTCAAGAAAACAGACATTCCATTTTTCTTTGTTTAATCCATTCCTTTGATACATCAATTGACATCTAAAGTTTTCTAAAAAGCTCTTTCAGTTTATTCTTACCTGCCAGGTGTAGAGGTGTAGAATTCCTTCCTTGTTGATCTCTACAGTTGATGTTATCAGGTGTGGCCAGCTTCTTCACTCTGTCCAGATTACCTTTTTTAGCAGCTTCAAGCAAGGCAGCATCACCTATCACGTTTAACAAAAATAACTAAATATTGTTCAGAAAAATTGAAAAAACTTTCAAGTCAAACTATTTTCTGCCTTCCCCTTATAATTTTTAGCCTCAATTTTTAATAATGACTGTTACTCTACCTCTAAGTATATCAGCTACATCCTGGTCTCCTTCTTTTACCAGGTCCAGTGGTGTGTGACCATCTCTGTTCTTCTTCACTGGATCTGCTCCATGCTACAATGTGCATAAAATTACAATTGATAACAAATCAATCTAAGACTTACTGTTTTTTTTTTTAAATAAAATTTCTGTAATATCCATAAACTAATATCATTTTTGCTGTTTTGACCAAAATTGTCATTTCCACCACCTACTAACACTTTCCTATGTAATCTTATGTTAAAATGGTATTCTTCATTTTGTTTTTCAGGAAAGTCCATAATCTTTACTTTTTTCTTATGCAATTTATGTTTTACCTTTAAAAGGAGTTTTACAATCTCAAATTTCCCCTTTGCGGATGCTTCATGAAGAGGAGTAAACTTCCACAGGTCAGCTACATTGACACAAGCACCATGCTGAAAAAGAGTGAATGATATTGCAATTAGAGAAAAGAACAATGAGCTATAATACGCAACTTATTAGTGACTTTCACTATGCAGGAAGGGCACCAATCACTGATGGTTTAGATCACAAAAGAACAAAAGCAAAAGTTATCAATAAAAATTTAAAATGAACAAAACTTACCTGAATCAATAGCTCTGTGACTTCCAAGTGACCATATGAACATGCATTGTGTAGGGGAACCAGTCCTCTGATTAAAAGAAACAAGAGATTAGAGACATTCATCTTTGTGAAAAGAAAAGAGATATATGGAGATATATGGAGAATCTGTAATATAGCCAACAACTTGCCAATATTCTTTTTTCTTAAAAAAGACTTACCCTTTGTCTTTGGCATGCACATCTGCCCCATGTTCTAGGAGGAACTTCACCACAGCCACTCTATTATAACCAGCTGCAAAGTGCAAGGGTGTGGAGTGCCGCCCATCTAAATCTCGACAATTTACAGTGTTGGAATGGATACCAATCAGTTTCTAAAATAATGCAATATATGTGAGTACCACGAAGCACACATGAGCAGCTACTGCTTTGTGTCATCAATTTTTCTGACTTAACAGGTCACTTTCCTTGTTTCTCAAAATCCAGAAAATGACTCAATGCTAATTTTTAAATCTACATGTAATTATTGATTTCACTATAGTTACTGCAGCCCTTATCTTCAATTAGAAAATGTCTATATGAGTCACTACATTCAATACTTACTTTCACCACTTCCATATCTCCTGCCTTGGCAGCCTCCAGTAGCTGTATATCAAAATCTGAAGCTCCTATGGCAGCCTCCTCTGCCATAGGCACTACTGAATCATCTTTACAAAAGAATGAAAATAAATTATTACCACATTTCCGGAAGTTAAAAAAAAGGCCATCTCTACGACAAGTTTGACAGTTATTATTTATATTAAAACCTAGTATATTGTGAGTTTAAACAGCTACAACAGATTTATCAAATAAAATGTAAAAAATTTCAACCCACCTCTGAGCACCTTCTGTATGCTTTCTGTTCCCAGCTGGGCAGCAGTGTAGCCTTGTAGTGAAACTATACTAGGTTCGGCACCATAAGTTAGAAGAAGACGAGCAGCTTGGATATTACCTTGCTGGGCAACCCTATGGAGAGCAGTCTGACCAAGACCATCCAAGGCATTTACCTGGAAAGAATGAAACCACATCACTCCCCTATACCAACTTAATTCACTACCAAAAATCAGCTGAAAATTTTTATGGTACATACATAAGTATACACATCTTAGAATCAACAATGGTGACCACTGTTATTTAGATTGCAACTTGGTGTCTACAGATCTACCATTTTCTCCACACATACCTTGGCTCCATGTTTGAGCAAAACATCCACAATCTCAATGTGAGATTTGTCTGCAGCCATGTGTAAAGGTGTGAGGAACCTGGCAACAAAAACGGCATCAATCAGATTATAATGACAACTGGATCTGTTACAAATAATCCTGAACAAACAGGAAATAGACCTACAAAAAAATCATAATATTAAATTCTATTTTTACTTAACTAGGTTTTGCTGCTATTTGAGAAAGAAATGGGTGAAACTTTTACTTACTCCTTATTTTTGTCATTCAAGTTTGCTCCTTTTCTTATGAGAGCTTCAGTGACCTGTTTCCTCTTGGGGAATGGAGAGGAGGAGGAGCAGTGCTGGAATTGTGTAAAATAAAATGTGAAGGTATTATAAAACCACATTTTTGATTGAGTTTTAAAAGCAAGGCTGAGCAAATTACTAAACAGTTCTTACTATATAATTTTTTCTGATATGAAAAAAACTAATTACCAATGCTGAATCTCCAGTATAAGGATGCTTGAAATTGACTGTATCTGGACTGAGATATTTCTTCACTCTTGCCAAATCTGCCTGTCGAGCTCCCTCTAGCAGAGCATGTCCTCTGTATTCATCTGCAAAACAAAAGAGCAGAAACATTTACATATATATATATATATATATATATATAATGTGTTTGTATATATATATATATATATATATATATATATATATATATATATATATATATATATATATATATATATATATATATATATATATATATATATATATATATACACACACAAAACCATCTTATTTTTTTATGATCAGATACAAAGCAACTTTCACTGCTGGTTGAAATTATTTGAAATCACAATCAAGAAAACCAGATATTCTACCTGTAGAAATAGCAACCTCTTATAAACATCCTAATAATCTTCAATACATAAGCACTCACTCAGCAATTTCTCCTGTAAGTCTCTGGTAGGTGCTGCATCTATAGCACTCTTTGAGTGACAGTTGACAAGGGTGGGATCAGCACCATGAGCTAACAACAGAGAGCACACTTCTAATCTACTCTTGGAAGCTGCCTCATGGAGAGGGGTGAACTGCCACAAATCCATGGCATTCACATTAGCTCCATGCTGAAGGACAAAAAATCCAGGATTGAGAAATCAAAAGCATCCAAAATGTAAATAATTTAAAGCACCTATCAAAAGGTAGGTTACTCATTAATGTCATACTGCTATTGTTAAATCAATGTCTATTAAACCATTAAAACCATGTATTTGAAGATCAATTTTATATGTGGTTTCATCTATCAATGAATATGTGTGGGTGTGTGTAAACATGTTCTTTACCTTGAGCAGCAGTTCGGTAACTTCAAAGTGACCATATGAACAGGCATTATGGAGAGGTACCAAGCCACTGGGGAGAGAAACAGTGTTTTTTTGCTTTAAAATGCAAAGATAAAACAAAAAGGATTTCCAGGCAATATGTTTACACATGAATTCTGACATCTGAATTCATGTACACAACAAGTGATGCATTTGTTTATAAGACTAAAAGAAAACATGATGTAAAGTTGTGGTTGTCTTAGTTCAAGCAGAAAATATAGCAATAGTAATCAATTCAGTTCACACCTACCCTTTATCCTTGGCATGTACATCTGCACCATGCTGTAGTAACAACTGCACAATTCTTGTCCTGTTATAACCTGCTGCTAGATGAAGTGGAGTAGACTGGAAAAATATAAATACAAATTTATGTCATTTTGCCAAACAAATGTTAATATCAAACTGATTAATTTAATATATCAGTATTCCTGTCATATTAAAAATTTTATTATCATTTTTACCTTTCTCCCATCACTAGCATGACAATTAACATTGAGGGGTGTAAGCAATGCCATCATTTTTTCCTCATTGCCACTTCTTGCTGATTCCAGCAGCTCATCTTTCTTATACTCTCCAGTGAGGACAATCTTTGCAGACTGCTCAGCCAGATCAAGGGCAGTCTTGCCATCTGTATTTCTTATTGAAGGATCTGCTCCATGCTGCAGTAAAACTGGAAATAAGATCAGCAACTTGGTATAACATATTAAATAGTTTAACAAACAAATAAAAATTCTGTAGATAGCAAACAAATAATAATGCCATAGATAGGAAAGACCAAGAAGTGACTTTCAAGTCAAGTGCAGTTTTCAACTTTAAATAATACTTACCTATACAAACATCAATTTTGCCCTTTATTGCAGCTTCATGCAATGGCGTATAGTTCCAGTTGTCTCTGGCATTGGCTTCTGCTCCCTGGCGTAACAAGAGCTGAACCACCTCTGCATGCCCAAATGAGCAAGCATTGTGGAGTGGGATTAACCCCCCATCATCTCTGGCATGAACATCTGCACCTATACCTAGTAAATGTTCCACCACATCCTTCCGGCCAAACCCTGAAATAAATACACATATTTTAATCAAACTTCACACTAGGTAATGAGTAAACTTAATTCACAAATACAAAACCTAAATTATTTAGTGGAAATACTGTATTTATGAATCTTCAAATAAATTGCCATAGAACCTTGTATAGTACAATTTTTTAACCAGCTGTCAACAAAGAGAGTTATTAGCCAGGCTTAAAATATTACAATTTTTTTACACAGCCAACCCAGTCTGTGAGATCAAAATTCACTAAGATTTAGCTTCAAAAATTACTGGTCTAAGGTCAATGACTAACAGTCATATTCTGTATCTTGGGTAGCCTGAGACAGTGAGAGCAACGAGTTTTGAAAACTACGATTGTAAAGGATATTAAGTTGTATGTGAACTTAACCAACAGTACTTCACAATGGAGATTAAACTGTCATGGCAGAGATATGTGGACAAAAACATAAATTTCCCACAGATAAAAATAGAACTTCCTTACCCACTTCCTTAGATTCTGAAAAACAGACTAGGTCGGAAAAGGGACTGAAAGGTTGTTGTGCCATCAAACTGATAGCTTAGAATAGAATATGCACTTTACACATAATAAATCTTAATGACGCACTAAATACGCTGCTAAAAGGGAACACTGACGTTCTAAAACCAGACGGTGTACGAGATAAAATAAGATAAGCGCTGAAGTGAAAAAGAAAAAAATTTGACATACCTGCAGCGAAATGTAATGGTGAAGATTTCCTTCCAGCGGTATCTTTAGCGTTCACATTATTTGTATTGACGAGCTTTTTTACTTTATTAAGATCTCCGTTCCTACACGCTTCAAATAAATCCCGACCACAATCTGAACCGAGGGGTGAATTATCAGCAGTTAATCCAGCCCGACGGCTACTCGCCATTTTTCTGTAGTCTTCGCTTCTCGTTTTTTCGCGTTAAACACGCGAGATTTAAGTATCGCAGTGAATATCTTTTAGCCAATCACATTTATTGTGTCCATATGGCGGCAAGGAAGACACTTTTAGACACTTGACTGAACCTTCGCTACCTTCACTACCGCTGATTGAAGCGTAAAATACAATCTGTATTGAAATGGCTGATTTAACAGAAGAATTAGAGGATGAGAGTAGTGAAGAAGGCGAATCAATGACTGCAGCAGAAGTGTTACAAAAACTTGAAGAGGTAAGTCGACTTTAAGTCTCTCTTTCTCGGTCTCTCCCTCATCTTCTCTCTCTCGCATTACATAAGACAAACATAACTTTTACACAAGTATGCACATGCATTTAACACACATCAGACACAAATCACTTATTTAAGGCAGCTGTGATGAAAACAACTGGTGGCGTGGAATGGAAAGCACAAGTAATACTAACTGTTCCTGGAGTTATGTACCAATTAAATGGTTTTGTTGTTGAGCTTGTGCCTTTAGATCACTCATTAAGTGACCCTGTACTAGATCTCTATGTGTTATTTTTTATGATTAAGTTGATAATACTGATTTTGGGTGACCCATACTGAAGCCTTCAAACTTAATTTTTTATTTCAGGCGTGGCTGAACGAAAAATTTTCACCAGATTTGTTGGAAATCAAAAATGACATAGTGGACTGCATGTTGGAACAGATTAAAGAAATGGAAGAAAATATAAGAAGAGCCAAAAAAGGAGATTTTAGGGTTGGCATACACAAAATGGAAGTAAGTATTTTTTAAAGAAGAAATTAAGTGGACCCTAATATATATGTATTTCAGGATGTTAAAGCAAAGTGACTTATTTACAACTTGCTAACAAACAGTGATCAAAGTTAACTTAAGTATTTAATGTGAACTTTCTTGTCAGTGTTTTTATAATCCCTTTCCTCAGTAAGGAAGAATGATTGAAATAAACATCTTTTCCAACATATGACCAGTAGTTTTATAAAAATTAAATTTGAATGGCATCAGATCTTGTAATTTGTATATTTTTCTTTTTGTTCTTTCCAGATAGATAGGATACGGTACTTTATCAGTAGTTATCTAAGAACAAGATTACAAAAGGTATCATCATTTTATCATTTATTTTCTCTATGCTTGCATTTTAAATTATTTGTCTTCAAATATGGTGTTTTACTTCACTTTCGCTGCCCTTTGCCTCTTTCTCACATTAAGAGTCAAATAAAAAATATTAAAATCTACTTTGGTTGTAATGTTTGTCTTCACTATAAACTTGTTATCAGCTTGCACTTTTTTATCTTTGGTCTATTGCATTATTGCATTATTGCATTGATAAAAAGATTTTATATAATAGGAGCTTGCTACCGTTAATTCCCGTAAAGGAAAATATATCTAGGCTCTTGCTTCCCAGAATTTTGTGGAAGAAATATACAAAAGCAATAAAACTGTAGCCATAATTGACATGATTATGTCAAAACCAATTTACAGCCTAATGTGGAAATTGAAATCTTTTTTTTTTCTAGATTGAAAAATATACAGCACATGTTTTAGAACAGGAAAAAGCTAGAGGGAGTGATGAGACACCACAGATGTCACCTGATGAATATACTTTTGCAAAGGAGTAAGATAATTTGATGCCTTTCTATGAGTGCTTATCATTTCTGAAGATTCAAGAATAGGAACACTAGTTTCCATAGTTGAGAAAACAAAGTCTTATTTTGTCATAAAACATGTTCAAGTTTTGCTTTCATATTTATATATACTCAGACACGTATTACTTACCTATAAAATTGCTTTTTGTTAATTTTTGTTTATTTGAATGTCATAAATCATTTTCAACTAAACAATTAAAACAATTTATCTTTTCAGATACTCAGAAAATATGGAAAATCACTTCAAAGTATTAGCACTGCGACACATGCCACCAAATTTACAAGCTCTAGATCCTAAACATACAGGTACAAATGTAGCAGAAAAGCAAATGAGACTTCAAGAAATACAATACACTAGATCTTTGTATTGCAGATGAATTTTATAGAATTAATCATATGATAATGTAATGATATTTTCTTGTTAATCTGGTCATCTGAGGATGGGTTAGCTGATTTTCATTTTATTTACTGTCTGATATACATTCTTTTGGGTAATAGATAGTGTTCAGTGACTAAATTAATTAAAATTTACACATATGTCATCTTACGGGTGACATCATAATGGTGATTTTGGGGTAAAAACTGAAAAATCAGTTTTTCAAATTTCTCTTTTACCTGAGCACCCACAATCACCGTTTCAACGCTGTAATCAAAATCTGTAATTAGGAGCTTATAACTCCTTAACAAAAGCATTTTAAACAAAATGACAGCACAGGATTGTAGCCTTTACACTCTGGCCAATTTTAGTGGTAAAATCTTGTTCAGGGATGAATAAACGCCCTATACCGATTGCTATCTCACCTCAAAATAGCCGATATTTTATATTTTCGAGTGTTTTTTTATTGTTTTAGATCAGCACAAAGAAAGGTGTTTTATTTAATAATTTTCGGTATCTGGATGATAATAAAAGGTTTCAATATCCTTAAACAGTCCTGTCTATACAAATTTATTGTTATAACTATAAATGTTCATTCCTTAAAGATGCAAGAAATAAATGTCTTCCTGAATTGATTACTGAACCATCTGATGCAAATATGAGTGCAATTTCTGATCATAAAGATAAGTGGAAGTTGAGATTTATATTACTTGTATAAATTTGTTTATTTGCTAGTTAAATATTTCAATTTATTTTAGTAATGCGACCCAACTTGGATAGCTATGTGTTTTTACGAGTAAATGAAGATACAGCTGGTGTCCTTGTTGAAGAAGAAACTGCAGAGGCAGGGTGAGTACAGTTGCTGAGGATACAAAGCATGTTGTCTTGAAATATATTTGCTTATTGATAATAGTAATGCATTTCACCAGTCTGCATGTTAGGCAGCATTTCCAAGCAAGCTGTGATGACTAAAGTAGTGCACGCTATCTCTGTTTAGCTTTTCATTGTAGAAAGCTAATTTATTCACAATGCTGCGTTTTGTTATTTATGTAACATCTGTAACATAAGACTGACCCTTTTTTTTTTTTTTGCTAGAATATTATAATCTTGCTTTAGATAACTAGTACTAATTTTATTCATTACTCAACTAGGTAACAAAAATGCCGTATCTGGTGTTGCTAAAAATGAGTGCTTTAACATTGGTTATTTATATGACATTTATTGATTGATATTATATTTTATACCATTTGTACCCTTACTGCAAAAAGTATTTTCGATTCACTTTGAATTTGCTAGGCCTTATTTGGTGAAAAGGCTGATGGAAATTGGCATAATGGGTTTATTTTTACTGAAGTTATTGAACATTTACAGCATTTTCAACCCTATTGTCTAATATCCTCTCTAACACAATCCATTTCTGATACAACCACATCCAGTGTTGATAAATTTGATGAATTTTGCTATGAGTTGTTATGTTTCAGTATTAAGTCAATATTTTATTTTGTAATTGGTTATTGGAAATAATTTTGTAATAATGTGACTTGTTTTAATGACAGTATCTCTAATAAACAGTGAGCATTTCATCTCAGCAAAATTTTGAGGCATAGTAGTTTTGTCATATCATTTGATTTCTTAAAATATAAAGGTAAAGGAAAATATTATGTTTTAGAAACAGTGAAAGAGGTCTTCATGTTCTATTTAAATTGTTTGTATTTATTTTGTGTTGAATGCTTGTAACCTTTTTATCAGATTATGAAACTATTACTCCTGCTAAAAATTGGATTTACTCAAATTGAGCTGTTCATTTAGCTGAAGCCAATTCCAGAAGATGGTGTTTAAAGCCCTTTTGGGGACTTTTTAGTTTGGAATTCTTAATTGATGGATCACAAAAAAATAGTTTAATACACTGGGAAAATGTATAATTTTTATTTTTATTGCTTAATTGTAGTATACATTCTCTTTAAGATCTCTAGAATTTTAATTTAACCAAAGTCACTTGTAAATTAGTTATTCATTTATTTTCTCTCAAATATACCTGTGTTTAGCCTGAGTGTTGGATCTGATACAATCCAGCTTCTTCACTTTGAAATTTCTACGTATGCCTGCAAAAAAAAACTGCTTTTTTATGGAGATTTGAAAATGCAAAACATGGTGTATATCAAACCTGAAACACAGGTAGTCGTGTCTAAACTTCTTGATAAAATGAAACCCTTGATGTTTATTTGATTGATGAGGTAAACACTGAACCATGACCAACCAGACAGTAGATAAAACAGGAAGCTTGAGTGTGACTTGGATTTTAATGAGATTTCAAATATCCTGAGCTCCTTGGCACAGTTGTTACCAGAGTAATCAAAGGCGTGAAGAAAGTAACATAATGTAGAAACTATTTCCTGTAAAGTATTATCTCTGACTGTATCACGGACAGATTATTGGCAGGCATGACAATTACATGTTTGAAACACTGTGCTCTTATGTATGGTGTCCAATTGCACATTTTAAAGAAAACACTAGATACAGGGTTTGTGATGGTTTTTAATTTTATTCATATCATTGCTTAAGGTTTGTTGGACAGTTTAAAGATGAGGCCAAATTTCTTACACTAATGTGGTTTCTAGGATTAACCTGATGTGAGGTCTTTTGGTTTTTAACTCGTGCTTGGTTTGACATGATATTCAACAGATTATGAAAAAGAGGTTTTGATGGTGTTCTTGGTATATACTGGACATTGGAGATAACAGAAAGATATAAAGGCTTCCAGTCTGGTTGTGAAATAAGCCTTAATACATGTGCACGTTGGTGGATGCAGCCTCCCACCTTTTTTAAAATTAATATTATAAATCCAGTCCACATATCTTCTAGGAAAGGGAGAAAAGACAGAGGTCCACCTTGCTTTTTATGTACTTTTTTTTTCTTTTTTCGTAATTAAATATCTGTTTAAAAGCAGATTAACATTTCAGAATTTAACATTTCTTCCTTTTTGATATCAGAGATTTACCAAACTGTGCATCTTTCAAAATAAATCAAACTATTCTTACAGAAGTTTGTAAAAATGGCATGAATTGACAAAGTTCAGTAAGGATTTACATATTATATTTTATGTACGTATGTTTTTATTTTGCAATTTTTAGCTTTGCTTTTAAGAAGAAGTTGAATTTTGTTTTCAACTCAACAAGGTTTTAAAGCCCTAAAGCTCCTGTGACTTTAATTCATTTGCACCCATCCTTTGTAATCATGGAAGAGATAGTACTGGCTTGTTCATGTAAAACCAGTTCCATTGTAAGCTGTGACACATCATACACCATTGCTTTGTGAACTTTATCAAATTGAAATGTAGGGTCTTAAATGACCCCTGTCACCTGGGTTACCCAGGCATAGAATGGAAACTTGTTTTTTTTTTTTACATGAAGACAGATGCTTTAAGGGTGTTGTCATTTATCTTGTTACAGTGCTCTTGCTACTGTGAATACATCTCAAGTGATGTCTAGGCTAGGACTGTTTTAACTTAAACTAGTCATTCTTGTAGTTTTTTTTTTTTTTTTTGCCTTCAAATGTTATGCAACCCAGTGCCTAAGTTGTCAGCAACGTGCAGGTTTACCTACATTATTTTAAAAATGTATTTTACATTTTGAAAATACAGATAACATGAGAAGACACATTAAGTTTTTAAAAAAACTGACAGTGAGTAGGTGGGAGGATTGACATAAGGTCCCTGGCCTGATACCGTTTCAGTTGTCAACATTTATGTTCTTAAAGTTTCTAAAAAACAGCTCAAATTAGTGTTTTTTGCTATGGCAATACTGGCTCTAACTCATCTCAGCAGCTAAAACTTGGGTCATGACCTCCCTTTTTCTGCGATGATTGTTGGTTTTTGTTGTCATTTCATGTCTTTGATTAAGTTGGTGAAAAGTGAAAATGTCTAATATTTACATAGAAATTGTGTTTATGGATTGACTCAGGAAATCATAGATATTGGTACTTTAAAGTAATGCCTCTTTATTATACTTCATTTAATTGAAGTTACAAAAAAGTTGAATAAACTTTATTATTATAGAAAAAAAAACTTTTTTTATTATCTTTTAAAACTATGTTTAATTTTTCGTTGCTCTTCCAACCATTAGTTTCATCATTTGTTCTTCTCAAGTCTCATCATTGGCCTTTTGCTTTTACTTCTTAAGTAGGAACTTATTTTTTGCTCAATCAACATATCATTCAAACATTCCATTTTAGAGACTAATAAACCTCTTTTTTTTTTTTTTTTTTGGGGGGGGGGGGGTATTTTCCAACCTAATTTTTTACTATTTTCATCAGCTTAAATAATTTTCTTACATTTAAGTTACTGACAGACACTCCAGAAGAGGATGAAATATTTATCCAGTGACATTATATTTGTTCTGTTTACAATTTCAGGGAAGAGGTGATAGATTTGGAAAAGGGAGATCAGTTGATCATAAGGTACAGACCAGTAGCAACACTAGTGGAATCTGGAGCAGTTGGACTCATTTGAAGTGACTTGTGGTTTTTATAGATTTGCAACAAACCGATCTTTCAAATATGATCAGCAGTATTTTCAAGGAAAGTGATTTCCTGATCTTTAAAGACAAACAAGAATTGAAAATGCTTTTATTCATCTGATTAAATTTTATTCACTTCAAATGTTTAAGAAGGTGTAGATTGTGATATTGAAGAGGATATATATTGGATAATAAAGATTTGCTTGTTCAAAAAAGCAGATGCATATGATAAGCATATAATATCCATTAAAAACATTAAGACTGTGCAAGTTTCTAAATATCTCAACAGATTAATATTTATAGTGATCAAACATTGCTCTGAAATTTTTATCACTGTATTTAATAAAAGAAATCTGAAAATGTTTTCTTGTCTCAGTGTGATTAAACTAAACCATGACACCACACAAAAGTTATCACATTGATGTTACCTTATACTTGCTTCATTTTGATAGTTATCCAGAACAATTTCAAATTTCTATCCATTATAATACATTTTTCATATGCAAATAGGGAACCACCACCCTGAGCTTCAGAGATAACTTGACACTAACATCTTCACTATAGCCTATCTTCGTCGTGTAACTTGACACGATGAAGATAGGCTACAGTGAAGAGGTTGGTGTCAAGTTATCTCTGAAGCTCAGGGTGGGAACCCCTCACATTGGTTTACAAAATTATTGGCCTTGAAAAAGGTTATCAGACTGTAAACCAGTCCTCCAAAAAAGGAAGCATGTCTGACTTTATCTCAAGTTTGCCAGTAAATGTCATTTGCAAATAAAGTTGAGGCTGCGGCACCTGAGGTTACCTCTCTAAAAACATTATCCCAACACCCACTTCTCAGGGCCTATGGGGAAAATTGGGGATTTAAAAGGGAACTGATGGTCTGAAACAGAACAGAACTAGAGCATATGATAAGTGTTTTTTGGTCAAATTTGAATAGAAAATATCCAAAAAGTACAGCAGGTCAGCACTATAAAAGTGTCATGAAAACCGATGGCCAGTAAACACCTCAAAATCATATTTTCTCTCAAAACATTTTAGTATAAATTGATTTTTATAATATATTGAGAATTTAAAACATAATTTGAGTAGGTGATTCAGGATTTTAATTAAGGAGTCAGCTTTGCAAATGCATTGCTTCATTTATTTCAAACAACCGTCTTTATCCTAATAGTAGGCCACTGTAATACAAAATTCAATCCTCTAGCATGTGACTTGATGATATCATCAATTCAATAATGCTATTAAATAAAAGTGATTGCAGGTGGTGCAAAGATTCTAAAAACTGCTGTATCTGAGATACTTTATAGAGTCTGTACTGTACCTATAAACTGTAGTCTTCCAGGTGTCTTAAAATACTATATGAGTAGTACGATAAGTTTTCAAACTTTGGGCACCCTAAATTTTTCTGGAAAACTGATACGACAATAATTTCCTACTCTCTACAGGAGTCACAGAGATATTTTTTCAGTAGATATTCACAGATATTTCTCTGGCCATTCTGTATACATTTTTGTACCGTCCAGCAAGATTTTTTTGTAAAACAAATAATGTCATTATTCAGCTGGCATTTGGTGGACAGTAAGCTTTTTTTTTCCAAATATGGCATTCCATTCAAACAGTACAACGTTAGTGGTTTCTAGTGGTATCTCCATATATGTAAAAAAAAAAAAAAAAAAAAAAAAAAAAAAAAGATGACATAAGCTGAAAGATAAAATCTATCTAATAAACGTTTCTGACATGCAAATTTAATGTCTCTCTGGCAATTGATTGTGTTCAGCATGTGATGATTAAACTAGCAATGATGCTCTGTCCACAGTTAGATCAGATAAATTTATTATTTTACAAATTTCTACTGTGTTCTTAAATATTCTCGGTGACCATTAAAAATGATAATGGGCTCCTTGGCGTCTGCCTGCATAATACAGTACAATCCAAAACTAATTTCATTCAAGGTTTCCATCGAATTTTATATCTGAACTGCCGTGACCAGATTGATAATAGTAATTCTTCAAAAGATAAAAGGTAAAACCATTACGAAAGCTAAAACTATCACGCTGGCGACTTCATTAGTAGTGATATACAATTTAATCATTCATCTTATTATCGAGATCTGTGCGCAAGGCTCTAACAAAAGTTTATCAGATCAGTATTAATGTTACAGTTTATCAGCTGTCTGGCCTTGACGGGGCATAAACATATCAGTCGTTACAGATGCTTACTTTTTACGACGGCATACTTGCGTCATAACAGTGCTCGGTTATGCCGTAGAGTATGCCCTAGACGTTGGTGCCGCATGATAAGTGCGTGTACTCATGGGTCTTCAGTCTTCTTATTGCCTGTTTTTGTAAACATATTCTGTCTGCACACACCACTTCGGAGTAGTGATTTTTTTTTTCAAGTGTGTGGCAGGATAAGCAAAAATGTTAATTTTAATAACGTTTCAAGAACGATTCCCAATGTCAAATAGGTGTTGTTGTTTTTTAATCAAACGCGTTTTTGAGATCGTCTTAATACCATACCCTTTAGTTGTTTACAGTCAATTAAGGTTGAACTTGCTCTTCATGCTTCTCACCTTCACGAGGTAAAAAAAGCCTACCTGCAAGAATCCATTCATTCCTGATACCAACAGCAGGGGTTGATTTTTATTTTTAGCCTAATCTCAGGTCACAACAGTCTTCGGTTATCATTAGAAGAAGGCTCAGTTTACCCCAGACGCGTTTATTATTATTTTTTTAATTGTTATTATAAAACTTTCACGGTCATGTAATCATGTGTCAGTTTCTTACCTCAGTGGTAAATCAATATCATATTAATGGGCCCCTTGTATAAAATCGAGACACCCTGAATAATAATAATTCCATACTGTTTATTGGGCATTCAAAGTTTTGTAAAGTTCCAGACACCGCCACCTTCACTGTTGGGACATTTTTTTCCTGCTGGACAGCAGACTCAGTCATACAGCACATATACCTGTACGTTGTAGCTCCTGAACAAACAAACTTTTTAGTAAGCTAATTAAAAGAGAGTTCTTAAAAAACTCTTTCACGCTTGAGTAATACTGCTCAAGTTTGTGCACATTGTTATTCGGCGTTTGGCAATACCTGTATGTATTTTTGTCGTATGCTAGATCTACGTGAAACAAAGGAAAAATGGTTGCATCATAGGTTGCCGAACAAAACATCACGGTTGAACATCAATTCCTCTCGAATAGATTTAGAGAGTATATTTAAACTACACCATATTACCAGGGAGGCTGAGTTAAAACGGGCATACATGTCAAGGCCGGCATCATGCATGTGAATGCTGATGTCAGGGGCTTTTCTCACGCATGACCTTCACTGTGTGCATCTGATGTAAACACCATTAGCTAACTGAGCGACTGAGCCACTTGAGCATCGTGAACATTTTGCTATGAAGGATTGACGTTGCAGCCTCTACACTGTCTATAAGCAGGCTACATCTATCAGGGGATTTGTATTCGGTTAAGGTGAGTATTAAGACTTAAAGTTAGGGAAGAAAGTGCGATTAGAGACTCTACATGTAGAAATGTTAACCGGAATTCTGGTAGAAACGCCGATTTGCCGGTTCTAGAATAGATTCTTACAGGCTTTTCTACTGGTTGCAGGTGTCGGTGAGATTTGCCAGCATTTAAATACTCAATACAGTAGATTTGGTAGTAAACGTACCCTTAACAAACGCATAAACACAGAAGGGTTGGGGGAAATGCACACCTACAGATCGGGTTTGTGAGATAAAGGAAATTATTGTATAAGCATCAAGATGTACTTGTAAGGTCTGCGATATTTCCAATATCTTCTCTTTTGTCTTTATTTTATCTGTTTTAATGAAAAGGGAAAATCCACTATGTTGAGAAGTTTATCGTATTTGTAAGCAAAATTTATCGTATGTTTGGGATTGGTTTCCTTGTCGATTTTATTCAAAACTCATTTCCAGTTACCATTGGGTACAATTAACAGGTGAGGTACGTTTGTTACATTGATAGCTGCCCTCCCCCATTTTCTNTATAAGGTTCTCTAAGTCATTTTGATTGGATGAACTTTTGTCTTGTCGCCCTATGATTGGTTGGCGTTTGTTGTTCACGTGCGGGAAGTACACTAATGACCTTGTGCTTTCGTTCCATTTCACTCGTACGTGATAATGGCGTGAAACTAGCTCTAAAGGAGATAGCTTTACTCGAGGGTAGTCATTGGGGACTGTACTCAATATGAAGATGAGCTAGGTGAGTTATTCGAGCATTTGATATCAAGATGCTAGAATTTTGTGGTTGATATAGGTGAAGGTGAAATGCCTTTATATGGTCACGTTTTCGAAAGAAAAAAATTAAGGACTCGGACTGAAAAAATATGCAGTCTCAAATATTTTAGTTTCTCTTTACATTTAAATAATAGATGGTTCATGAGCGTTAGTTTAAACAACATTCCAAATTAAACTAGCTATATTCCCTGTTACAACTAACGAATGCCAGATATAGATCTACGGTATGTAACAGCCAGCAAACGGAAACGACCAATATCATTTATTGATTAGTAGTCATTCTAGTCGTCGTGATCGCAACTTATGTTATAATTTACATTATGAATCGCATTTCACAACAAAAATGTAATAGTATAATCAGTAATTATCAAAACAAGTATCCCGATGGTGCACTTCGTTGTTATTCAGTAAGTTTTTACAACTACCGGGATGCATGTAAGACTACCGGCAAATGCTCAAAACACGGAAACAAAAATCCACATGCTTTTGTGTACACAAAGCTCAATATGTTTTCAATATATCATATAAATTACTGATTAGAGTATTACATTTATAAAGCTACCTCATTAAAACCGTTCATCTGATCCAACATTGTGTTTGTGTAGTTGTCTTAGATCGCATTCACACCGAGTTGAGCCTGGCTTTACAAATCCTGGAACTAAATATGGCAGACGTACATGAAAGATAAACCGCCTAATCTGATAATAGTCTCTTCGTCTCTCACACGCCTCCCCACGCGTCGTCCCTGCAGGGGAACAGTTATTAAATCTCGGCTCCATTCGCAATGCAGAAGCTACCTGAGAAATATTAAGTGCGCATGCTCACCAATTAAACTCGAGATGAAGAAAGCATGGTGGCTGGAGGCGATCGAAGGAAAAAAGCTATTATCTTTTAAAACAGAGACGAAAAAAGAATGAATTGACCCGTAGAGCAACAATGAATCGGCTATCTACGGAGATAATGTCACCAGAGATATTCAGGGTCCTGGGAGATACCCTACTTAATTAATGCACGTGATATTTTACTTTGGAGTAGGCCTACCAACGCAAATGAATGGCTTTTCACATCCGTCTTATGCTGTTGTGAAAAATTATCGTCGGTTAATTTCTTTATTGGAAGGGGGGGTGTTTTCACGATTTAGATCCCTATGAATTTGCGCACTTAATATTTCTCAGGTAGCCTCCGCATGGGGAATGGAGCCGAGATTTAATGACTGTACCCCCGCAGGGACGACGTGTGGGGAGGCGTGTGAGAGGAGGAGAGACTATTAAAAGATTAGGCGGTTTTTCTTTCATGTACGTCCGCCATATTTAGTTCTAGGATTTGTAAAGCCTGGCTCAACTCGTTGTGAATGCGATCTTAATGTCTTAATTGTTCCTTGATTGTCAAGAATCCAACTTTTCTCTGATATTTGACTATATATTGCCTATGCCTGCTGCTTTAGTCACCAGGCAGTTATATATATAACCTTTTTTTAAATTTTGTTTTACAGTGAATCGATGTTGGCTGTAGGAGTTCCACACCTTGGAACTGAAAGATCAGACATGCCAGTAGATCTGTCGTCATATCTGCTGGCTTCAAGTCCCCCAGTGTTTGATTTCTATGAATACCCAAGAGATGATTTACTGCAGCAGCTAAGAGACAGTTGCAAACAATCCTTCAAACAGAGAGAATATGAATCTTTCGACCTGCTGCAGTCATGTGTGGACACTGATGATCAGCAAGATGTCTTCAGAGGAGAGACAACCCCAGAAGACAAATCCCCAGTGACAGACGCTCCTCATTCTCTTTTGATACTGTCAAAAAATAATAGACCCAAGAAAAGGGTAACATTCGCTGATTACAATGGGCTTGCCCTTTCAACAGTTAAGATAATGACAGAGCCTTCAGATCAACCTCCTAAACTTCCACAGTCTATATTGGAAGCAGTCACAGAAGGAGTGAAAGCATCAGCCACAAGTGATGCACCATTGGAAATCAAGTTTCCTCAACCAGCAGCTGACTATATGAAGTTCAGAGATAAAATACAGAATAATTTTGTGTCACTGGAAAATGTTATTGTAAAGGAGTATCATGTTTATGGTACAGTGAAAGTAAAAAATGTGTCCTTTGAAAAAAAGGTTTTTGCTCGCTTTACTCATGACTCTTGGGGCAAATATGATGACATACCAGCAGAGTATTTGCCTCTGGGTGCAGGGGAATCGTCGCAATATTCCTCTATAGATACATTCTCATTTGAGTTTGATGTGCCTGCTACTTTTGACCCATCTAAGAGAATTGAGTTTGCTATATGCTATGAAGAAAATGGCATTCAACATTGGGACAGCAATGATGGGCAGAATTACGGAATTGCTAAAGCAAACTGCAACTCGGGACATGTGTCAGATACTCCAAAGTATGTTCAGACTGTCACAGACCTCCCAGGTGTGAAATCTTGGGCAGATATCTCCTCATGGAAATATGTGGATACATCTGTACCATATTGGTAGTAATCCGGTTATAATTGTTGAATGTTTTTGAAGTTTTCTGATTTGAGGCAGCTCCTCTGCAACATATTACAACACTGAACATGTGTTTGGTTTGGGTGGCATTTAAAATCTTTGCCATTTTATACATTTAAACAATGTTTCTTTTTAACAATATAGAGTAGTCCATATTATGAGTGCTTTGGCACCAGTATACACTAGCCATATTTTTGAAACTTGGGTAATGTTAAGAAATGGTATAATAAAAAGTGCTATTGTACCACTTGATTTGACAGCCTCACATTGTTCATTTCGGTGCAAACCCAAATGCTCACTATTTTCATGGGTTTGCCATTTTACAGTACAACTGAGGTGTTGATCAGGTCTGTGGAACACTACAAATTTGCATCATTTTCTTTATACAAGTAGGATGGATCCAGGACTAGACTATGTCACACTGTACAGTCTTAGGTTATTCTCATATGGCAGCAATATTTAAGTAAATGCTTTCACAGTGATGGTGGTATTTCAGAGGTCTGTTATCCAAGTGATATAGCAAAAACTGGTTTTTACCTCTTGCACTTAATTATAACCAATAAACATCTCTAGAAACGGGGAAAAGAACTACCGTCCATGAAGTTGAATGCTACAGTCTCTTTGATGATAAAGATGATTGTCAGCCAGATAATGAACCCAGACCACATGTTTGCGGTTACATAAATTTATGCAGAATGTGAATTGCCTCAGCTCGTAGAATATTGCACCTTTTCACTGTTTATGATTCCTTGAGTCATCCACACCTGTATTCATTATTTTATGCACATCATTGCCTTTTTTTAACAAGGAGGTGCAAGTTGCTGCAGAGTTGGAATTTAATCAATTCATATGGAGATTGATGGCATCAATCAACCACTTTTACAGGTATGGTTGTATTGCCACATAAATATACAGGGTTAGTGTTTTCAGTAATATGAATTTCCATTGAGCACTGTATATAGCTGCTTTGAAGAAAATTGGCTGATAATTCGTACTTCAAAGTGAAATTCTACAAAGACATCTTATGTATAATGGTTTTGTGAAATATCCCTATGTTCATGTTTTGTTATCATTTCCATCTTTTTAATGTGGCATATGATGCTGAGCTTAAATTACGTAGACAAATGAATACCTTTTTTTACTGGAGAAACAGAGCTAAATCCAATAGCACAGCATGCAAATGTTATTTACATGTGCATCAACGTTATATTGTAAGATAGTGCATTTATAAATGAAAAAAATCTGAAGTGTAATCTGTGTAGGCTGTGCTTAAATTTGTGCAATTGTAAAAAAATGGACAGTATTATTATCTAATAATAAATTGGAATATTATATTTAAAATATTTGTTTTGCAGATTGATTATATTTGAAGTTGATACAACCTAAAAGTACATATTTGAATTTAGGTAATCTTGTTTTACTCGGTCCTACATGATACTGCTGCACACTGCGAAAAAGGCATTCGCCTGCCCTAACTAAGAGAGGGTGCTATTCTTGTGCTTGTTTACCTGACCTTCACTTGAGCAACCTTGAATCCCTCGGCTTAAATTAACCTGGCAGACATTCTTTATACATGTCATATAGTTATTTAAAGATTAATGCACTGACACATTATCAAATTCACTTGATAAATAAGCATTATGTCGCCAATCAGTGTGTGTACTTAAAAGTTTAATTGTGTGCTTTACTTCAAGAAGGGGGGGGGGGCACCCTATCTGAAAGTAGTTGAGGAGGTAGGTGAGCCTTGACATTTTCTCTTTTTGTTACGTAGTTACGTACTTAATAAAAAAAAAGAAGATTCAAAAATATATATTGCACCGAAGAACTTAATACCTTGGCTTTTTTTCGTCCCAGATGTTCCCGTAAAATATGGACCAGGTGCTGAGGTACTGCTTGTTTTGGTGTGCATTAAAATATTTATCGGAATGCTCGCAACATGTACGTTTGTTCTACCATCCACTATTACATTGAATTACCTAGTATTATTTCACGTTGTAAAGGTCAATGGAATGAAACATTTATATGCCGTTGATCACCAAATATAGCACAGATTTCTATAAACGGTTTAATCGCTCGGTTTGAGTTGTATGCACACTGTTGATGGTTTTAGATTGTACTCTGGCTTTCTTGATGCGATCGGTTTCATTACATTGCTGCGTAAAGAAGCAAGATCTTTTTTCTCTTCAGTCAGAAAATTTAGATAAAATTTTAATACCGTTAGAAAAGATCTGTACTCTCAGAAAAGGATGATGTTAAATATATCTGCCAGACATTACTCATGTCGTGTGTTGGAACCCACCAGCAGTAGCAGGTGATTCATGCCATCAGCAAACAGCAGCACTGCGTGCTATGCAATGTTAATGGCTTCAACAAGGGACCCGATAATGAGTAATAATCTGTTGACTAAGGTCATTTTTTTATATTCTTCAAAAATAGTTTTTGTTTTGATAAATGGAATCTCTTTTAATTTGCCTAAGCTTCTCATGGCATGGTCACAAAAGTGTCGAAAGTGTCGTCGTGCTTACAGTTGCTGGCCGTTTGCGAGGTTGCAGCTGGTCAACTGAGGACAGAGCTTGTCATATTACTTAATTTAGTTCGTTGATTAAATTTATATCTTCATGGCTATTATCAACCTCAAACAATCTCCATGCTGTCACCATCTATTGGCTACCGTAGTTTTATATCTTAAATGAACATTTTCCAGAAGTCATGAAAATGGTACTGATGCTGCGTGTTGCGATAAATTCACTTTAAAAGTTTACATAAACAGATTAAGAGATCCAAAGGTGAATTAAAGACAAAAAATGTAGTTCCGATACAACTGATGATATACATATAAACCATTCGCTTTAATTTGCACGTCTACTTGTTCGGCCTAGTCGCACAAGCTCGCAGGTAAGCGAGATCACATACGGTCATGCAACTCACTCACGGTCAACTGAGGACAGAGGCAACCATATTACTCAATCTGTATGACGTAAGACTAGCCTGGATATTTTCACCTCAAACAACCTATGCCCTGTTACTGTACTGTACAAGACGTATAAGATTCCAGATCCTGTGAAATAGATCAAAATAAAATAGAAGAAAAGGCTCTACAGAAGTTTTCATAATGGATAAGGTCGCGTGTAGCGGTAAATCCACATGAATTATAAAATTCATGAAGAATTCCAGACATGAGCGAGGGACCATTACAAAAGTACTTAACCACCGTCACAATTGATTATTCATACATCAGAGAAGTGTTTCATAAACCATAGACTGTACGGGGTTTTCACAACAAAAGGTCATTTACCTTGAGAGATGAAAGCGTTTTTTCATACGGATTATTGGTCAACCTGTCCCTGAACATGGATTCGATGTATTTTGTACCATTTCTAATTAAATAATTTAATTAGTTTTAAACGAATCATGATTCTTTAAACCATAACGAAATATTGACATCAGGCACTTTTGTTATAAAGGTATAATCTACTTTAAGGTATGGGTTCCGAAAGATAAGTAGCTTTGCGGGAAATTCAGAAATAATAAATACAATTTTGAGACCTTTACATATGTATATTAGTACACCTTTAACGCGTCTACCTGCTCCTCAACACATAAAGCGTATTCAAGCTCCAATCATACCCTCTACCAGGGCAGCGGGTTGGAGAAATGTGCCATGGATTGGACACACACACACACACACACACACACACATCTGTAAATATTTTATCTAGTGAAAAATCAATCTGCGGCCCTGGTAGAGGGAACTCCAATCATACAGTACATGCATAATATCTTCTCTTTCAAGCTACCGGTTCTTGCCCTGGTTTTTAATGCATCTCTTCAAAGTGAAGAGAAGCATTACCGCTAAGGTCAACTGCACATATTAGCTACTTCACATTTGCACAATAAGTGCATTGAAAGCTTTTGACTTAGGAGGAGTGTAACCATTTCTTAAACTGGCTATGTTGACACCTACTTACGGGTGTGGCATACAGACATTAACCCCGTCTCTCATCTTTATTCTAAAGCTATCCTGGCTATCCAGGTCTAACCTGATAAAAGACACGTAGGTCTATCTATATCACGAAGGAACATCTATAGTAAAGGTATTAAGACTTGTTTGTCAAGGCGATGGCATCAATTACGACATCAAATACATACGAAGTTGTAGTGACTGTTAATGGACAAAAAGAAAGAAATATGAGACTCGTCCTTGTTGTATGTGTAACTGTCAATTGGATAAATTTGCAAATCAAGTTTAAGATAATTGGCTTGTACAACTTGACTGCAATTTATGCTTTCATCGATTTATGACGAAAAATATGCAGAATATTTCCAAGGCTTTCATAACCAACCATATTTATATTGCTTATTCGCGTGTTGTAAGTGAATACAATTGAATGATCTGATTCGTAGAGACTTTGTATAGTTCTTTGATAAAATTCGATATCAAATTATACAACTGTAATTAATGGAATCGACTGTCATTGCCACTGGACAAAAGATATTAATTTTCTTCAATCAAGAGAATTCAGTTTTTTTTCTGTTAGAAAATAACATGCCGGCGAGAATCCTTTCAGTGATTTCTCCGCAAACCACAGAATGCATTGTAACAGTTTTTAGGCATTCTGAGGGCCTTGGAGGTCAAAAGCCATTTTGGTCGGTAGAAGGTTCTCTTCGAATCAAAATACTTTCTGTATATGTTCTGTGAAACCACGTACCTGTAGGTTTCGCAGTAAAAAAGATCCACTTTTTTTCAGAAAAAGAAATCCGTTTGATAGCGCTTTACTTGTCACAGGAAAGCTCTGACGCAAAATGGAAAGTTTGGATTAGTTTTCACATGACCAGGCGTAATATTTATTTTGTCAATTTACAGTAAACTTAATTCGAAACGGACTTCTGCAACCTAAACATGATGGTAAACGAGGGCTGTCTCAAATACAGACTGCGAAGTCAGGAGATTTCAACTTACGTATTCAGTCGATGCAACAATGAGCAATGCGGTAAATTGCTTGAAATACATTAAGTACAACATCAGATACGAGATAAGCAAAACGACGACTGGTGTCACGTGCTTGTATAATGGCCACGGAACGTTTTAGATATACTACTGCAAATTGCCAACAAATTAAAGTGGAGATGTCACTATTTAACAATCGTTGGGTTCATCGTAACGTAAATAGCACTGAAAAAAACTTATCACGCTTATTTTTTACTAATTTGGTAGAAGATTCGAAAAAAATGGCATATTATTTGCGGTCGTTTATCCACAACCCAGCCAGAATCTACACAGTCTTCATGTATATCTGACTTGATCATCTATTTGTGCAGCAGCATTCAAAAAGGTGAAGCTCATCAGGCTCAGATGACTAATCAGCAATTCATGAAGACAACCATGCGTGTACTGACGTATACTGTAGCTAAAATATTAAAATAGCATGCAATGATTTTCCCTTCCAAAAATTGATCTTCAATTCGTAAAACAAAATGCCAAAGCTCTTTTTCAGCAGCTCTCCTCTCTTAACCTTTCACAACCTCACAGGACAAGATCATTAACATTCTTTACACCACATTTTATTCATCTCAGGTATGAATACATTACAGCAATGATTATGCAAACGTGACATCTGTGCAGCCTATAATGACATTTTAACACATGGCAATTTTATAAGAGGGCACCTCCTACCATTGAGAGGGCAGAAAATGTGCCAAAAGACACAAAAGAGGCCCTTTTCCCCCTCATAATTTTCCACATTTTTTGAGTGATTGCAGTTGGCATTTAGATCTTAAGTCTGTGTTAAATGAGAATGAGCAGGATCTTGCCTTTATGCATGTCACTGACCACCCGTACATTGTACCATGCAGTAGCCACATGTGTACATTTAAGCTTTTCTTGTTTGCTTGTGTTTGTCATTTAATTGTACATGGAAGTAGCTAGGTAAACCACAGGACTACTTTACCCAAGCCTCAAAGTGGCCAAGGGAGGGGAACACCCATCCGAAAGGTATTAGGGCTGTTGAACCTATAAGAATGTCCTTTTAATGTGACCAACACAAAAAAATGTATGCTTTTGCATGTTATTATATACTTCTGGACTTTGTAAACGAAGCATGCAGCAAGAATGTCCAACTCCAAAAGCACTGCCTTTATAAAGAAAAATCTCTTCAGTTAGTCTTCGACCAGCTTTAGGACATTCTGGATCATGCTACCAATGCCATCATATATTTCATGGACTGCAGTTTCACACATATAGGCTGGGGTGGTGACAATCTTGTTTTTTGAATCCACATGTGCCTCTTACAAATAAGTTAAGGAATAAAACTTAAAAACTGATGGTTATAGATCTTACCTGCAAAATCTGGACTGGATTTTATTGGAATAGGTTTGGGAAAAGGTCGCTTATGATACAATGTATCACAATGTGTTAGTTGTGAAATAAACGGAGTATATGCACAACTTCATAGATGTGTTAGGCTCTAAAGACGATCTTATTCATCAATTTATCAGTTCATCAATTATCAAGTTCAACTGTCAGGCAAATGAATAAATCTTATTAATCCACCCAGTACATGAAAATAAAACAATACAATAAACATTTTAAAAGGATATTGTAACCTGTTTACAAACATGCTTTCCTCCCATGCTGTTGATTGCTGCAGCTGTTCCAGCATATGGCCACTTCCCACCTTCCTCTTTATCTGAGCCCACTGTCACTTCGCAACCCTTCAAAATCTTGGCAGCCAGAACAGGGGCAATGCAGCATAACCTGAGGAGAAACATCAGGTTTGAAAGTTTTCCCTTTCCTAGTCTATCTTACAGAAATTATTCAGCAAGCAGCGAATTCTTAACTATGCAAGGAGCCAATCTAATTTTTTGTGAAGTCCTAAGTTTTTAAGTGATAAATTAGGAATTTTTACACAAACTTACTGACTGATCAACACAAAAAAAAAAAAAAAAAAAAAAAAAAAAAAAAAAAAAAAAAAAAAAAAAAAAACTTACCCTATGGGTTTTTTTGAACTATGAAAATCTTTTAGAATATTTTCTACATCAGCCTGCACTGAACAATCTGCACCATTTACAGCAAAATCAGATCTAAAAAGGCAAGGGTGTATTAATTAAACCTTTTCCAAAAAAAGATGCTTCTTATGGAAATTTAGAACTGAAATGTAAAACTGACAAGATTAACTGTTGCTGTGAACAGCCTTTAATGGAATGTAAACAAAAATTGGAAATTAATTACTACCATTATATACACATTTTTCAAAGTTATAAACAGTAACCATCCTTTTTTTGTTTAAAATGTTAAGGTATATTTTTCAAACACTGCATTTCAACTCTTTTTAGTTATACTCGTTTTAACTAGTTATATATGAATGATTAGTTAAAAGTTTTGAAAGGAGAGAAGTGTCAGAAAAATTGCCTTTCAGGTAACTAAACAAAATAAATCCATTGGAATAAGTTAGATATTTAAACTTGTAAGTAAGAATGCTTCCTCTCATTCCAGATGAGTACATTTTGTCATTTTGTAACGCACTAGACCAGGTGTCAAAGCAATAGAAAATATTTTCATTATTGTGTCCTTAAAACTCACAAATTCTTTGCAGCCCCAAATCCTCCAGGGAAAACAACGGCATCAAAATTCTCAGCTTGAAGATCTGATAGTTTTTCTATTTTACCACGAGCAATTCTGGCAGATTCAACCAAAACATTTCTGGAATTATAAAAAGTTAATCTCATAGAAAAAAACATATATCTGACAAACTAATTGATTTAAGCACTACCAATCTTTCTAGTAATTAAGCCTGCCAGGAAAACTTATGATGATTTTAAACATACTTTAGTTAACAGCTATAACATTCATAAAACAAATACCATATCTTTCTAGTTTAATCAATATTTTGTTTCAAAATAAACCCTTGAGATAATCTTTCACCTCTTTTGATCCATGGGTTCTCCTTTGGTGTGATCAACAACATGCATCTGTTCCATGTCTGGTGCAAACATTGCAACCTCAGCACCTCCACGGCTCAGATGCACTAAGCACCTAAAGTTGGAACATTCTCAATTACAAAGATTAAACAGAAAAAAAATTGTTCAGGCATTGAGTGCAATTAGTACTGGAAACAATACTAAAATCTTGTGAAGAGTATTTAGAACATATTGTGATACAGAATCTTTAGTTTCATTTTAGCAACTATGTTTAAAATGAAAGGCATACACCACGGGTTAGACCTCATATGTAGCAACAACATCAATGGAATTTCCTTGTCTCTATATCTCCATTATGAGAATGACTCGAAATCTAGAAACTTACCTGTACAACTAAAAAAAAGGCTTATGAATCATAATTGTGTAAACTGCTTTGGACACCTTATAACTTGATGATTACACCTAAAGGGCACTTGTTGGAATTTACGATAAAATAAGATTTTTTTTTACTATATAAACCTCTAAACTTTGTCGTGTCCCTGTACAGTACCTTTACGTGTTTAGGAATCTGTAACCATCACAGATGCAACATCCAAGGTCACCTTAGTTTAAAAAACTTACAAAACACCAGTAATTAGCACAGTGACGCCTCAAAAGCAGTACCATCCAGTGACGAACAACGAACAAATCTTGCAACTTACGCTGAGGCCTCATGCACTTCACTTCCATCAAAAACACCGCATCCAGACAAAACCTGGAAGTTAAGTACGCAAATATCATCACAAGTAATCATGTACAGTTAGCTTCGTGATGGTTAAAGGCAAATTCAAATGACAATCAACACAAAAAAATATTGGTACTTCATATAACGTTAATAAATGGCCCACTTCACATTACTCGTGAAACTGAAGGTCATGTCTCTCAACTTACCACGGCTACTTTCTTATGAGCTATAGTAGTTGTACTTATGCCGTGTTTAGACAATACATGGTGATGAAGTGGTGTCGTGACACTGCGATAAAACCCCCTAAACCCGAGCATTTTGATGCTGTAATGTGTCCCGTCTCGTTGTTTAGGGAATCCCTCTTAACGTTAGTGGACCTAAATGAAAAGGATATTTTGATAGGTGGTTATTTTCATCGTCCAATCGAAATTTTTGTTACAAGATACTTGTAACCGAAACTGTTCGTCTCCAAATAAATGTCTCTTTTTGAGATATATTGTTTAGAGCGAGTTGTGTCGAGAACAGATCAAGACCTAATCACCGATATAGGAAAATTTGTTCCAAGTGCGTTTTGTAATCAAACAGTTGTTGGCAGGCGTACCCCGAGCTGTACTTCAGGAGCAATAATACAAGTGTTTACTTCTTGTCATGGTCCATGCAGCTAATGTAAGGAGAAACATTGCATGAATGATGAAGCCCAAACTCATCGTGTGGCTGCCTAGATTCCAATCTAACATTCTAAGTTAAAATAGTAGTCTAACACTGTCAAGTCTTTGCTGTTGTGCAAATCTAAATATTAGCTAAATGTACGTGCTTGCTGCGCCATGCAGTTTTATGGTAAAATAACACCAAACTATAATGACAAGTGCATTATTATAATGACTAACTTATTTAATTTTTTAATTAGTTTTTCTCATTTGTAGATATGAAAATGCTCTCTACATCCTGCATCATCTTAAGTATTTTGCTCCCGGTATTGTTTTCGGGAATTGGCTGGCTGTTGATCAGAAAAGAAGCACTCAGTTGGTTGCCCTGGATACACAGACAGGATTGTTGGTTTGACATTGAAACCGGAGAGCCAGTGTGCAGATGGTTGTGCAGTTATGGTCATTACAGTAGCCCTGGAATGGAGCATTGTCAGAAGTGGCTGACCTGTGAAGAGATTTTGCAGAAGTTTGATTTCCTTAAACCCATTGGGCATGGAGCTGTTAAAGGGGTTAGATAAAATAACAACTTTATAAAGTTTGTAAAATGATAATACGTTGTCGGCGTTCAAGTCTTTCATTTCGGAAACATAAAGAACTCTGGTTATTTTCTTAAGTTAAGATTTTATTCTGTAAGATTTTTTTATTTTATTATTTTTGGCAGACATATTTTAAGTGACAGTGCCAGGTATTCCCCATTGGCTATGCACATTACAATGGTATCATTATGTCATTAATGCATTGATTTTGCTTTGATCATTGCAGGTTTTCTTGGTGATGTACCAGGATCAAAAGTATGCTTTCAACTACCTTGACAGTGGATATGTTGAAGATTTTACACATGGAAAGGACTTAGTCAGAGATCTACAACCAAGTCAATATGTTGTGCAACTCATAGGAATTTGTGAGAATATTTATGTAACAACATATCACAAATTAGGCACAGCAAAGAATTTTGAAAATATTTTAAAAGAAGCAAACTTTGAGAAGTACAACAATATTGCCACAAGATTTAGACTGTGTATCAGGTATGCTGAGATTATTGCCTTTCTCCATAGCAGCCCTTCGGGGGTGAGAGTCATGTGTGATACAAATGATCTGAACAAAACACTGGATCAATTCCTTCTTACTGATGACCTAAACATTGTTGTCAATGATTTAGACGCTTTGCCCCAGGTCGACAAAGAAAATGGTAAACTGGTGAAATGTGGCCACCGGGAGTTATTTGGGGAATTTGTTGCTCCTGAGCAGTTGTGGCCATTTGAAGAAAGAAATTTTACGGATTCAGAGATGCCAGGTTATGATGAAAAAACTGACATCTGGAAAATGCCAGACATGTGTGATTTCTTTCTTGGTACTTCTAAAGAAGCAGAGGCTGTAAAATTCCATTTGTTTAGTATCCATAAAAAATGTAAAAGAGAAGAGCCACAACTTCGACCAAGTGCAGCTGATGTCCTCAGTGAATACAACAGAGTGTGGAAGGAGTTGGAAATTGATGAAAAACAGTTACCGACAATTCATGCATAGGTCACCACAGAGTAATTACTTTGAACTGGTTATTATTGCTTGATATGATAAGAAGGTAGCTATTTTGAGAACTTATATGAAGGCAGAGACTGCAGGTGCCTGTGTTATATCACGAATGGTAATACATTCTTGGTAGTATATATTCAACTTCAAAAATTTCACCGCTGGAAGTGTAATTGTTTTCAGTAGGAAGATGACCTGAAAAATACTTACAAAATTTTACACGTATGTTTTTGTTTATTTCTTATACTTTTTAGTTCATTTTATACAACATATCTGTTTGTACTGTAGACACGTATAAAAAAAAATATTTTTCTACATATTTTGCTAATAAAATATAAGAAAGTTAAAATACTCATCATAACAACATTATGGTAAAAAAGAAAAATTTGTTCACCATCTAAAGGTGGATCTTAAACAGTGGACGGGGTTATCACTAAATAGTATATAATATTCTAATACACCATAGTAGTATAATATAATGGTCAAAAGCATTATTGCTGTGACAGAGACTTGCAATACTGGCTACATTCCAAATAATAATCGCATCTAACCATTAAAAGATTTACATTCATGTGCTTGCATTTTTAATGAAACTACAGCTGTATTTTGTATGTAAAACATTAGCATAAAATGACTAGAGACTAAGCAAGGTGCACTACATCATGTAGGTTTGTTACCACAAATTATACATATTGACTCCATGAAGTAAGGTCACAAATCCATTTATGCACGTCTTATAAAATCTGGGAGGAATGACATTCTACATCAAAAACTGACTGCTGACAACATACTGTAATTCTTTAAAATTCTACTAATTCTTTGCAGGTTTTTTTTTTTTTTTTTTTTTGCTAATCCGGGAAGATTTTTGTGCTGAAATGCCTCAATTAGGAAGGTTCACCATGACCTACCCCTGATTTCTGAAAGATAAATATGAATTTATAGTTAAATAACGTATATTTCATGTTACTGAAGTACTGTTGAGAACAGAACTGATTAAATCAGAAATTTAAGAACTCTGAAGAGTGCATTACACTTATTAAATAAAAGATTTACAAAATCCTCTTTTATCCATGTCCAAGTTGTTTACTGCCTGAAGTATACTGCCTGTTGTTGCATAACATTTTAATGTGTAATTTCATAATTTAATCAACTTCTACTCCTTGCTGGACTACAAGATTTCAACTTAAAAACATGCGATAGTCCCATTTGCTTGGAGTCCTCAACAGTTTTCTGGTACTTCCATCATTCTATCTACTTTCATTTTAAAATACTAAATATTTTAAGACCAGTTTTTCAATTGATGGTTTAAACCAAGTTAAAGACTAAGCATTTCTTTCAAGTTTATTTTGTATACATGTGCAATTTTTGAGCTGTTAGATGTGATTTCGTGAAAAAAGAATTTATTGTAATGCTATATAAAAGTACATGTACAGGGTATCTAAAAAACAAATGGGAAGATTTAAGATGGTAAAAAGCATATACTTGTATATCATAAGTTTCATACCGCTTCATCAAGAGAAGAAAATGTGAACTCTTGCTTTTCCTTTGGAGACCCTGGAGCTTTACTGGTAGCTGCTGATTGTAAATAGGCCTCCAGGTTTCTCAGCACATGCCTTGGATTAGTTTTGGCTATATGTTCCAAATCTACAATAAATCATTGCAGTTAACATGGTAAAAGACATCCACTAGAGCATCATCATGATAAAAAAGGTAATTCACAGCCATTCCTCTAATACTCAAGATATTAATATTCAATTGCTTATGAGTAAGAAATATGTGAGAATTTTTTATAAGAGAACTGTGTACATTGATTAAATTGTTCATCCAAATGCACAAATACTTCTAAGGTGACGTTATTGCCAAATTTTTAAACTTCCATACTGTACTGCAAGATGCTTTCAAGAAAAATATGTTCTACAAATAGGGTTATTTAAAATAAGTCTCTTATAAGCCACGTTTGACCAATGTTCCATTTCGATCTCACCGTTCAAAACTGGTCCTGAGTTGATGATGGTCATTTGTTGGTGTTTCCACTTTTGGTATAACATTAAGTAAAGCCCAACATACAGATCATTCACCACTGCAACCACCTGTCTGCGTTTGTTACACTCTCTGAGAAAGATGTGAATAAGAACATTAAGAGATATAATTATACCTCAAGTAGAATTCTAGGCCTTTTTACTGCATGTTAATTTCAAACATCATATGTCACATAAGATTTTTACATAAACTTGTACACATCAAAAATATCTTGCTGTGCATTTATTTTTCTTATAACTGGTAAAACATTTTAGTATCTTCAATAATTTGTTTGTTTTACATTTTAGATATTTTTATTGATTCAAAATACACCATCAATTCCTTCATACCTTGGTGAAAAATCACTATATTGTAACAAATAGTATAGAGCACATTCTCTCCCGCACTATTGAGAATAGGGCTCAGTGAAAAAAAAATTGGAATTTCCTCTCACTACAACATATTTTTCATAGTGAATTCAGGGCTATGCTCTATTTTTTTATTATGGGCCATGCCACTTCACACTTACTTATTAATGCAGTCTTCTCTAAGTGCCTGGAGAGTTATTCTGGTAAGATTTATACCCATCAAACAAAAGGGGAAATTCTAGAAATTAACGTAGCAACTAATTAATCAAAATACTACTGCCATATACCAACAATGGTCAATTTCATGTAAGAAGATTTAGACCTCAGAGATGATAGTGTCATTAAGTATTGTGCTTTGAAGAGCATATTAAGTAAATGGATTAGATAATTGCATTTCTGCTGAATTGCTAATTAAAATGCCATGAAAATAAAAATAAGTGTATTCATCTGTTAGGAAAGATGTTTGACTTTGAACAAGGTTTTTAATTTCTAATGGAATTGTTTTCTTTCATCTTTGGAAAATGGCACTAAGCAAGGGACTAATATATCATACTATACCTGACTTTCATGTAATGAAAGTTTATAAATGTCTCTGGCTAGAGATAATAGTTTTGGGTCTTTTACAAAATACAATATGTGAAGAAGACCTAGGAAACCAACACTCCTAAGGTCTGTTGCTGGGTCAGTGCCTGAAAGTACAAGGTTATCCAAAAATTAAGTGAGTTTAGGCATGCACAACAGTCTGGTGAAGACAATTCTTAAATTTTTAAGTCTTTCATTACTTTTGCACTTGTTTAAGCAGAACCAAATGGTAAAGTCATAGAGCTTGATCTCACCTTGAAACCCAATTTGATCCCAGTGGTCACCATATCTTTTACAATCAAATTTTGACCCAGTAATCTGCTTAAACATTGTCTGCAGTGTTCTCACATGGACACTTTCATCATTGTCAAACTGGCCTTAAGAAAATAACCATGGTATGAATTGCCAAACACACATTTGAATATGCTTCACACTTAAAATTTTTAACATTTTTCTACTGTGATACTATAGACTCAAAGAGAAATTCTTAAGAGCAGAAATACCAAAATACCAGCTTAACTCTGATTTTTACAGTACAGTATATACATATCTATTAAGTAAAAATGACTTAGCAAATGCCCTCAAACACAACAGATATCAACTATTAACTGGACAGCAAAGCTGACAAATATACAGACACCAACAGAAAACAAGGCAACAAAACTGACAAATGTTTAGATATTACGCAGGAAAGAGTGCACCAAATAATGTTTTGGCCAATTTTGATGCACTGTTACATATTGCTGTAAAACAGCATTATCACTCTTACCCTCTCACATCATATACTACAGGTAACATGGAGAATGAGAAACTAGCAAGTGATTCAGTTTCATGGTATAAAAAGGCCAATATAAATGCTTATGTGTGAAGAAGAAAATATTAAAATAATAATAATAATAATAATAATAATAATAATAACAGAATAATTACCATAAATGTAAATCGATCATGCAGATTTACAAAAGCAACCCTCTTCTTTACCAAACAAAGCTACTCAGTAAATTTAAAGTAAAACAAAAATACGGTTTGGTAGTTATGGAGTGAACGTCATGTGTTGGACAGCTACAGCGATGACACAGACAGACAGACCAATCAAAATATATACAGATACTTACAGTGTCTGTATTAAAAAAACTTTATTTAAAAAAAGGGCTTACTTGCTGCTATGCAAAATATCATGTCTCTTTCCTGTAAAAGTTCTCTGTGAAGTTTAGGTGGTCCCAACAGAAAATGCTTAAATGCTGCAAACCCCCTTCTTTCTATGCTGGTTTTAATAAGAGGCTTTAGAAATATAAAAACAAATGAAAATTCAGAGTATAAAAGAAATGAAAAACTTATATATTTTTCCCACCCTGATGACATCTTAATTCTTAAATTCTTCAGCAATTAAATAAGCCAATGAAAACATAAGTTACAATATGGCAAAGTTTCAAATAATCTTTAATAGAAGCAATCATATTTGCAACTTCAGAGAAAATAGAAGTATTTATAAATTGTACTGCATCTGTTTTCTTACCCTGACAACAGATAAGTCCTTTGTCTGATAATATTGCAATGCTTCATTGAATGACAACGGCTGGCTCTGTTTAGAAAAATTGGGAGCACCTACAATATTTTTAAAAACAATAAATCACAAACTTTTACCTTGGTTGCATTTTCTCAAAGATATTAACTATGTTAGTTGTAATGTGAAAAATGTAAAAGTTGACAGTTTTGTGATTTAGATTATTTCAAGTACCCCAGTATTAAACATACAAAATTATAAGACATTCACAGACTATCTGACAATTTTTTTCCTTGTTACATTTTTTTATTCTATAAACTGTGGCTAACTGTGTAGCTGACAGTAAATTACTACACTACATTATCAAAATATAGATACTATACCATCAAATTGCAGAACAGTGTACAACATGCAGTTAAAACATTAAGGTACAAAATCATAATTAATGAAAATGCTGTGGTCATTAGTGCACTACTAAGTGTTTTGTACATCCATAAACTTATAAAAATCAGAAACACTGCACCTTTCAATTCCAGAAAAATATCACTATCAAACCCATGAAACCTCACTAATGATTTGATAATTGCAACTACTATCACAACAATACTGCCAGAAGGGCTCATCAAATTCTTCACCATTTTTTGCTAGCACCTCTATTTTTAAAAGAAACAACCAGTAATAAGCAAAGCAAACTATCACTTAACTCTTCTAGCTAATACCAAAAGGTGTTTAAAATTAGGTAAAATCAATGCTTTGTCACTAGGTGAAGATACTGTAGGTGTATAAGGATTGATGCAGAGAGTAAAAACACACAGAAAGGGGAACAAGATTAGGATACGCTATACCTTCAGAACCCATAAGTTGCTGGTCAACCCCTTAAAAGAAGAGACATTAGTAGACTATCATTTTAAAAAAGTTTGCAAAAAGTAATATCTATTAGTAACATTATTAATCAGATTAATCCAGTATACAAATTATGATTCGGAAAAGGCAGGTGCTAATGTAGGAACAATAACAAAACAGCTGAAGACACTTTTGTTTCAACAGGCATTCATAACACTTTACACCTAAAATATTAATCAGTAAGACTTACTGAAATAAATTTATCAAAAGTGTGATTTAGATAATTCAGATTAGTAGG